AGAGCTGGAGGTGGAGCGGTTGGAAGGAAGAGAAATAAAAATAGATAAGGCCAAGCTCACAGTCCTGGAGGGCGACACCAGTGAACAAATCATTAGGTACAGGGTGAGGAGTGCCGTAGTGAGACAGGACATGAAAGTAAATATTTGTGGGTACCGTGGGCTGGAGGATGCGATGCATGCCAGAGAGGACTTCACCCCACTCCTGCAAGCCAGCTGGGACACCGCCGAGACACAGGGGCCTGGGAACTGGGTGTGGGGGTAAAGCTGAGGGTCCCAGGACCAGGGCCCAGCTCGAATCCCTTCCAGGTTTGTGTGGGTGCGCACAAGTGTGTCAGAGGGAGAGAGAGACAGGTTGGCAGATCCTTAGAAGACAGAATTAGAATAGGGGTTACCTGGGGCTGGGGGTTGGGGAGGGGCAGTTTGAGTTTCATGGGTAGAGCGTGACTCTGGGAGATGACACTGTGGTGGTGATGTTTGCACGGCCTCGTGAGTACACCCAACGCCACTGAATTACACACTTGAAAGTGGTTAAGCCACTATGTTTTACGTTATGTGTATTTTACATGTTTTTTTAATTATAAAATTGGTCCTTAGCAAAAGGCCAGGCCCTGGTCAGAGCCCCCACCCGCAGCCCACGGCCTTTCAACAGCGCTGTTGACATTTGGGGCCCCAGGTTCTTGCTGGTGGGGCCATTCTGCATCTTGTAGGATGTTCAGCGACACCCTCGCCTCACCCACATAACCCCCTCCCCCATACCACGCGGCAACCAAGCGTGTCCCAGACACACGGCCAGATGTCGTCTGGGGGCAAAATCGTCCAGGGTGAGGATCCCTACCTCCTCCCACTTGGAATAAGCTGCTCCTTGGAGGAGCTGGGCTTCCAAACCCCCCAGAATCTGGAGGCAGAGTGGGGGTGGACGAGTTTTGCAAGGAAAGAAGGCAAAGGTCAGCAAATTCTGAGGAGCAGGGTGAGGAGACCCCATTTGGGGTGGGGGAAGTAGGTGCTCGGGATTGATAGGGTCAAGTTTTACTCTGGTATTATGCCCCAGTTCACCCCCTCCCGGCCCCCCACTGAAGGGGGGAGACTGGAGGGGCGCCCACCACCGCAGGCTCCATTCTGCGCACGTCCCACCCCTTCCCCCCAGCCACAGGTGAGAAGCAGAGGAAGTGAAACTGTCACCTCCAGCGGCTGGTGGTGCCTTCTATAGGGGCTGGGGGCTTCTGCCGCTCCCCCTCCCTCCCCACCCAGGTCATGAGAAGAATGGGGGTCTCCTGGGCCTTCTCTGTCTTCCTTCAAGGCAACCTACTGTAAGAGTAAAAGCGACAAAACCAGAATTTTCCGCAGTTACATCTGACATGCAATAAAGTTGAAATTCCCCCTAAGCCTGTGAGTGACATGTTCTCTTTACCTAATCTTGGGCGTTGGGGAATTAATTGTGAATATTGAGCCCTTGCCAGGGCCCTACTCGCCTGAGTCTGCCTTTTTAATGGTGAAAGGGGGGAGGGGTAAAAGGAAGGGGTGCACGGGCCCAGGAGCCTCCAGATGTGGTATCTGCTGCTCTCACCTGGAGCACCTTGTGCTCTTAGGGAGCACCCAGCTCTTCCCAGAGATGTGGGTAGTCACTTCAGCTGTTCGTCTATGGGCCTCCTTCCTTTCTCTAGGTGCTTTCCTCAGGTGGATTTGACCTGCCATGGTACCCAGGACCCCAGAGAGACAGCCAGTGGGGTTACCTTCTAGCGCAGGGCGGGTAGGAGAGGACGTTCTTGATGGACCACGTTGATCAAGAATTGATGATGGGGCCTCCCCGGTGGTGCGGTGGTTGAGCGCTGGGTTGCGAAGCTGCCCGCAGCCTCTGCGGCGCCGGTTCGATCCCCGGCTGCTCCCCAGCCACCGGAGGAGGGTCCCACATGGCGCGCAGACCTCTCCTGCCGCCCGCTGCTCCCCTCAGCAGTGTACTTCGGTCTTTCTGCCTGCTCTGCTCCCCGCTCTGGCTCTGGCGAATTCTCTCACCCTCCCGTGCTTCTGACTGTACCCAGTGCTTATGTAAATAAATAAATAAATAAATCTTTAAAAAAAAAAAAAAAAAATTGATGATGGCAGAAGTCATTAGCTCCCCAGTCCCAGAGCACCAGTTGGCCTGGTCTCATGCAGGACCAGAGGGCAGGCAGTGGAGGCTGGCCTGGCACGGGAAAGGCGAGATCAGGGGCATTTCAGCCCCTGAGTTAACCCTGGGCCTTAGTTGTGCAGAGGGCACGTCCACCACCTCTTGGGGGACGGGTGTGTTGTGCTGCCGCAGGTGGGGTCTTTCAGGGCAGGTCTGGACAGGGTGCTTGATGGGAGTGGTCGGGATCCTGGGGCTAGGTGGGGTCTCCAGGTAGGTGCTCCTGGGTCTCTGTGCTCTGGAGCTGGCAGTCAACAGGAAGTGCGTCCCAGGTTGCGAGGAGGCCATCTGGTCCCCAGCAGGAAGTGAGTGACATCAAAGTTGTCTCAGCACCTCTCTGGGGTGTCTGTGGGGCAGTGAGTGATAAGGGAAAGGACATGGCCCTGGCAGAGGTGGCTCTGATCTAGAGTCCTCAGCCCAAGTTGGCTTGCTGGACTCCCTCAGCAACCTCTGTCAGTGCCAGGTTGGGGTCCATGGTGCCTGGCACAGTGTGACTGAGGATGGGCATGCTCCGCTCCCCTGGCTGCCTGGGCTGGCTTTCTCAGCATGTGACTGAACCTTGAGGGGTGAGAGGATCTACACTGGGGAGGAGCCCCCTTGGCTTGAGCAAGGAGGTTTTTGAAAAAGACTGTCTGAGGCCTGGTCGAAGTGTGTGGTCCTGATACACGGGTGAGGCTGAGGGCCTCCCTGAGCCACCTGTGCTTCTCCCAGCCCTGCCAGCTTCTGCTCTCTGCGCCTGCGTCTTGGGGAGATCGCTCTCTTCCTTCAGGACCTCTTCCTCTTGCTGCAGCGCCCCCTCACACTCTAGAGGGAGCTTCTCGTGGAAGGGGGCTGCCCAGGCCACCCAAGGCTGCAGGAAGAACAGCTTGGCAAGGCAGCTGGAGTTGCCTCTGCTCGCCCCCAGGCTGCTCCATGTGCCTGGAGCCTCACTCAGGGAGGATGCTAGTTTCCTTCTGGGTGTTGTTTTTATTATTTTTCTCTAAGGTCCTGTCCCTATTTGCCATTTCTGGGAGTTCCTCACCAGACAAGAGCAAGCTTCGAGTTGAGGTCCTGGGGAAACCAGAACTCTCTCAGATGTTGGTGTGCCCTTGAGCACTGCAGCTTTTTGCAGGGGGCTTGGCAGCATCTACTCACAGCTAGATGGCAGGCTCTCTACCCCAACCTATCCACTTTTGGGGCCCTGGCTTGCAGAAATCCACAGGTGCACAGAGCTGTGCATACAAGGGGGTTGTTGCAGCAAAGAGCAGATCAGTCCAAAGACCCACCAACTGTTGGAATAAATTATGGCACATCCAATCGATAGACTGTTGTGTAGCTGTGAAGTAGAATGAGGCAGCGCCATATGCCCTGGCATGGAGAGGTGGCTCTGTGCTTGGTAAGTGAAAAAGCAAGTTGCAGAACAGGATGAGGAGTATGAGACTCTTAGGGGAAAAAATCTGAATCTGTATATGGGTGCGTGTATGTGAGTGTGTATGTGTGTGAATACATATGTATAGACATATAACTTACACATAGTTGCAGATGCATAGAACAAAGTCTGGAGAAGATGCATGCTCTCCAAACAATTAATAATAGTTAATAATTAATCCCTCCCTTGTGAGGGGGAGATTGGAGGTAGGAGATTGAAATAGGAGCTTTTAACCTTTGAATAGTGTTCACTGGTATGTGGCTTAAATTTTTATCACATGTGTCTGGCTTTTATATGTAGACAAAACGACGACCAGACACCTCCATGGCTCTAGCCATCACGTCTGACAGTCGGGAAAACCAAGGCACGGCCTTACCTGATGTTGCGGCCAGCATGTTTACTGAGCTGACACCTCCCTGCCCTCCTCTAGAGGGGCACCTGCAGATGGAGTGGCATGCAGGGTGGTTGAGGGCAGCCTGGTGCCTGTGGGCATTGCTGGGCATTGAGCACAGGGCGCACTTGCCTCTCCTGCCCCAAGTGGACGCCTCCATCTCCTTTGAGAGGTCCTGGCCTACTTGCCCCCGAATGGCACGAGCAAGGGGCTCTCTCAGGCTGCCCTGTGCTTGCTCTGTCCTCAAAGAGTGTGTGACCTTGAGCAAATCACAAAACTCTCTGAGAACCTTTCCAGAAAGTTCAAGAGGATCTAAAGGGGTAATGAGTGAAAAGGCGCTTTGCCCATCGTGCAGTGACGCTTAGGTATGTCGCAAAGCCAGCTCTTAGACTCTTGGGGACAAAGCCTACATTTCCTTTTGGAGGGTTTGCTGCAGAAACTGATAATTGCTTGTCAGGGCCATAGCTCTCCTGAGGGGGCCAGGGCTGCTAGGTAGTGGGACCCAGAGGGATACTACTTTGGGAGGTCCCTTCCAACCCTTGCCCCCAGCCCCCACCACCAGGCAACTAGTCACTGAGTCTGGGCCTTGAGAGACTCAGAGAGGAGGTGGGTGGGCTCTGATAGCCCAAGTCAGATTAGCTGGGATTAGCAGAATTGGTCTGGTTGGCCTAGAATTGGTCTAGAATCTTCTGAGGTGGGGTCTTGATTTGAAGGAGGGATATCTTAAGAGCAAAGAAGGCTTGGAAGCCCTGTACCACCTTAGTGAGTGGGAGTAGGGTGAGGTGGGGTGGGCAGTAGAAGCAGACCGACTTGGGTGCTTCTCTTTGAAAATCTGGACTCCACACCCTCCTTGACTTCAGGAGGCCAGACTCATGTATCTCGAAACAAAGAGCAACATTGGGAGGGTTTTTGCCTGCATGAATGTTTATCTGGACAGAGGAGTGTAATATATAGCTTCCACCAGAATTTCAGGGGTGTCAGTGACCCAAAAGAGGCCAAGATCTGAGCTTCCCCTGAAATACCTTTCTTTTGCATTCCAGGTGGAAAGCAGTGACACACCGAAGGACCCTGTGGTGACCTCCAAGTCCCCGTCCATGGCCCAGGACTCAGGCCCTTCAGAGCTGTTACCCAACGGGGACTTGGAAAAGCGAAGTGAGCCCCAGCCGGAAGAGGGGAGCCCCGCTGGGGGGCAGAAGGGCGGGGCCCCTGCAGAGGGAGAGGGTGCAGCTGAGACCCCGCCCGAAGCTTCCAGAGCAGTGGAGAATGGCTGCTGCACCCCCAAGGATGGCCGAGGAGCCCCTGCAGAAGAGGGTGAGTCCCTGGCACCAGGGGCAGCCTCTTCTGGGCTCGCCGGGATTCTCCTAAGTGTTAGAGACTTGAGACCTAGGAGGCCCCACGAGGCCTCAGTTGGGCATGGGAGCTCCGAGGCTGTGCCCTGGAGGCCATTGGCTGGATGCAGCTTGCACATGACACATTTTACTTGACCCACATGGTGTTTTGAACATTTGAAAAAAATTGTTAGCTATATTTAAAAATCAAGAAATTTCGCATACAAATCTGTACAAATCTGTAGAGTTTGGGCTTCTCCTGGGGGAAGCGGGGGAGGCTAGCTCTGGCAACAGCATGTTTGTAGAATGCCAGGAGTTGCTCTAATGGGGTGATGGCTGCCACCCCCCATACCCAGCCCTGCCCCTCTCTGGTAGGCTGATTGTGTGCCTTAGTTTCCCTTAGTTCCTACCATCCTCCTCCAGCCTGCTTACTCGTCCATAAGTGGCTGCTAAGGATATCTGTGTTTACAGCCCCTGGGGCGCTGCAGGGCGGCAGATGCCCATGTGAGCCCTAAATGCCCCGTTGGCCTTCTGCGGTACAGATGTCCTCAGCCTAGCACAGTGCAGCTGACTGCGGAAAATCTGGTAGTGACAGAGTGGGGGTGCAGGAGGGGTAGGCAGGAGTGGCCCAGCCCAGGCCTCTTCCTCCGGGGACTTTCTGGCCTAGCCCCAGAGTCCTGGAACGTTGCCCGTTTTTCTCTTTCAGGTTAAGCCAGCGATTTCAGGGCCAACCGAGCTGTAAACATGTTAGTAATGAGGACAACTAGCATTTGTACAGGGCTTCGCAGTTTACAAAGTGCTTTCTCATACATTATCACATTTGGTCCTCCTAGGGCCCTGCCAGGTTGTTTTGCATATGTGCATTTTAATTTCAGAAAGTCTTCCTTCCAAGTGTGTATGATAGGATGAGTAAATTGATTAATTGGAGTAACTTATTGTGCACGGATCCAAACTGTGCATGTATCGACAGCATCTCCAGAAAAGAGCTTTTCAAATGTATTTTAAAATACCTTTCCTTCATTTATCATCCAAGTAAACGATGCTCCCACTAGGTGTAAAGCCTGTTCTGATGTATTTTGCATTAGTTGTTTCAGTTACTCCCTCAAACAGTCCTCTTTGAGAGGTATTATTACCCCACTTTAAGAAGGGGGTGGAAATGGAGAGTTAATGAGATGAGGTGACTTGGTCGGGGACCGCAAGTCTGTAAGCCTGTAAGTAACAGGCTCCCCAGTTTTCCCCACAGCATCTCTGGGGATGTGTCCTGACCCTTGCTGGGCGGGTTCAAGGGCTGGAGTGGAGCCACAGGCGGGGAGATGTTGAAAAAGGCCAAGTGTGTGAATGCAGAACCTGGGGCCCTGCCAGCCCTTCCTGCCCTTCCAGCTGCTCTCCACCAGCCCATGTCGGCTGACTCCCAGCTCCTGGGATCCTACCATCGGCACCCAGCTGCCGCCCGGGGCCGGGCAGTCCCTCTTGCCTGGTGTGACAGAGCCATAGCTCCAAGGCTGCTCTTAAACCTGTAGGCTTTGCTTGCAGTTTGCGATTTCCCTGTCTCCATTTCTGCTAGTTCTCAGAAGCTCCCTCTTCAGTCAGTCAGCAGGTGTTCATGAGACACCCATGTGCCAGGGCCTGGGGAAACCATCATGAGCAGGAATCTGGGTCTTGCCCTCCAGGACCTCACCATCAGCTGGAGAGACAGACATTGATGAGAAACCCACACTTAAAAGCGTGTGATTACACATGGAGATAAGTTCTCTCAGGGAAAACAAACATGGCTCCATGGGGGACTATAATACTGGAACCCAAGCTGTGCGGGGCTGTCATGCCCGAGCTGCAGGATGGGCCAGCATTTACCAGGCGAGGGGTGCTGCAGGCTGGTGGTGAAAACAGGTATCAGGGCTCCCGGGGCCTAGACAGGCGTGCAGGGAGGAAGGGAAAGGACACAGGTCAAGGGCAGAGCAATCGGGGCCAGAGCAGACTTTCAAGGCTGCCCTCTGCTTTGTGTTTTGCAAAGATCACTTTGCCATCTGGATCCCGGAATGGAGTGGAGGGCTGGGGAGCAGCTGAGCGCTTGGGAGACTGCTGCAGACGTGGAGGAGGGTGGCTGCAGTGAGCAAGGCAGTAGCAGAGAAGGAGTGGGATGGAATGCCAGGGGCTCAAGGGGAAAGAGGGTTTGGGACTGTCACACACTGCTTGGCCCCTCCTCAGAATCTTGGTGCTGAGCGTGGCACTAAGGCTTCCAGCCTCCTTGGTCTCCAGCTCCTGGGAGCACTCCTGTGTGGTCGCAGCTGGCCAGGAAGTGGAAATGCTGGCAGGGATCGGAGCTGGTGGGGACGCCTGAAGGCCACTGTGAATTGCCCGGATGCTGAGACTGGCGAGGCGTGACCTAGCGAGGTGGGCAGTGGCCTGTTGGAGGCTGGGCAAACCGCCACATAGAACGCGTACTCAGCTGCCTGGTTCCAAGGCGGAAGGAGACTAAGGCCCCAGGGAGGAAGTGACTTGGCCGTGGTCTCCTTTCAGTTCCCCTCATTCAGGTTTCTTTTTAGGGGCCCCCTTGATCTTTCCTGGAACCATACAGGAAAAACAGAAGACTGTAAGGCAGCATGGCTGTGGCCCGGGTGCGGCCCGGGTGCCCATGGGAGTCCCAGCAAGGGGAAAGACGGGGAGCAGGGTGATGGGAGCAGTAAGGACACGGGCCAGCTGGACAGACAGGTGGTCGACTTAGGACTGCTCGCACTCACCCGCCTGATGCCACATGCCACGTGGCCGTGTGGCTTCTCTCACAGAGCATTAGTGTGTTGAGCGCGCTGTGTCCCTACGCCTCACAGTGGTCCTCAGACCCGCAGGTTCACCTGGGAAATTGGAAATGCAGACTCTCAGGCCTCACTCTAGACCTGCTGCTTCAGAATCTACATTTTAAAGAGATCCTCCTGATTTCTAAGCATATCAAAGTTAGAGGAGCCCTCTCTTATGTAAGTCCTCATCCTGTCCTTATGATCATGGGAGGAAGACTCATCTCATTTCTGGGATGGGGACCCTGAGGGTTTGGAGAAGTTGCTCACCCACGATTATACCACTAGTGTGTCACAACCCAGTTGTACTACATGAAACTGTACACACCTGGCAAAGGACCCGCTTGCGGTCAGCACTGTGTTCCTCCTGCTCAGATTGAGCATCCAGAATAGGTTAGTGACTGCCCTGAGGCAATCCTGTCCTCACCCTGTCATTGAGATTTTGAGGTTTGGGTTCATTAAGGGGAACTTGAGGTAGCCCCTGACTGAGTATGGTCCCAGACCAACAGGTGAGTGTTCTGAGCACCTGCTTCTCCTGCCCCCGGGACCTCAGATGCCCAAGGGACATGTGGAGCCTCCAGGGCCTCCCTGGAAGGCACACAGCCATCTGGCCCTGCCTGTGGCCCTGTGTCTGGCCAGAAGCAGAAAGGCTGCGGTGTGTCGAGAGAGCAGCCGACCCTCCTTGACCCGGGTCAAGTGCAGCATTCAGAGCCCAGTTTGTTGTTCTGCTTACCAGGCTGGAAAGGCTACGTGTGGTATCCTTCAAGAGGGCATACCCAGCCTGTCAGGGAAAAAATTCCAGAGAGAAGGCAGTTGGAAATGGCATACAGGAAAGTCATTCTGTTTGGGGGTGGGAGTGTGAGGCATAGAGAGGGGGAAACCATCAAGGTGGTGCAGCATCAAGCCAGCTGGCTTGGGAGTTAGGGACCCTGAAATCTGACTTTGGCTCTGGTGGTAAATCACTCCATTCCCCTGAGGCCTCAGTCTCCCCATGGGCAAGATCTAGGGGCTGAATGAGTACCCCGTCACCTCCACAATGCTTTGGCCCTGATTTTCTGTCACTCTAATCAATAACTGATCTCCCATAAATCAAAGGACATGGAGGGCCCCCCCCCACCACAAGCCGTTTGAGGTTCAAAGAACCCCTGGGCGCCCCCTTCTGGTAGCCCAAAGCCTCCATGGGCGGACCGCGCTGGTGGAGAGGAGAGGGACCTAGAGAGGCGCTAGAGAACCCCTCTCTGCAAGGCCTGAGAAAAAGTCTGGGGCTGTGGTGAACAGAGAGGGCCTAAAGGAAGCGTGGAGGGAGAGACAGTCCGGCAGGACATACCTTAAAAGACCTTCGCTGGACACACGCTCAAGCCCTCGCTACAGACACTGGCGCTTCCTCCTGCGTTCCCTCGGCAGCAGCTGGCACTGCACCCCAAGCCTACCTGGTATCTTTACATCCAGCCCCTTCCCCAGGGCTTCCCTGTCGGTGCTGGCCTTGCCTCCCCTGCCCCCAGTGCTGGGGGTGTCACTGTCACCCAGCGGAGCCCTGGCCCCCTGGGGCAGAGGCAGTGAAGAACCCCTAGTCTTGTTAGGTGAGAGCAGGAAAGAAACATCCCTCTGGGGGCTGAGGATTCAGAGGCCTTCAGTACTGTCTGGTTTCCGCTTCACAGCCAGGAGATGCAGTAGGGGCTGTTTTTTCCGTTTTTGGTTCTTTGTTCCCACCCCCACCTCTCACCCCCCCACCCCCAGCTGTCAAGAGGCAACCTAAGTGACCTTCCTGCTTTGGGCCCAGTGCACTTGGCTTCAGAGCGAGGAGTTCAGAGGCCCAGTAGAAGGAGGACTCCCCCCTCCCTCCAGCAGGAAGCTCAGGAAGGCATAATGAACCCAATCCTACCGCCAGGGAGCAGCTGTGGGTGCTGGGCCTGGCAAGAGCCCCGGAGGACCAGGGTGGGCACACAGGGGCATTCTGAAGGAGTGCTGCTGCCCCCTTGCTTGGCAGGAAGGACAGGAGAGAAGAACCCTTTTATGGACAGTGCCCCAGGGCTGCTGCTCCCAGGGAAGACTTCCCTTTCAGGATCCAGGGCCCAGTTGAGGAGCTGCAGGGAGGCCAGGGGAAGAGGCACAGGAATGCTATCTTAACCAGAGGGGACAAAACTGACATTTATTGAGCCCCTACTGTATGCACACCCTGCCCTAGGCACTTGTTCACCATCACCTAGCAGTGGTGTAAGGATGATCTGCCTTGTGGCAATGGACCAGAAGGGGTCATAGAGGGCACAGAGACAGGTGAAACCAAAGCAAGAGCTCGGGTGTGTCAGAGCCAGGAAGGCTGTGCAGGATGACCCCTCCTTTGGGAAGGGGAGGAGCCAGGTGGGGTTTTTTGGGGTCCCCTCTGTGTGCCTGAGACAGAGTCAATGACCAAAACCCACAGCCCTGATATCTCTTTTTTCCTTTGGATTTGGGCCTCCAGCCCTGCTCCAGTCTTCTCTGCTCTGGTTTGCCCCGAGTCCTCAGTGCCAGCACAGAGCCAGGCACATGGCAGGCCATCAGGGTACACACATGCACAGCTCAGTATTAGAGGGGCCCCACCTTGGCGACAGGGCCCCCAGGCACAGGGTGGGGCCTCTCAGCCACTCCCTTAAGACAGTCCCTTTGTTCTTCCCTCTCCACAGGCAAAGAGCAGAAGGAGACCAACATCGAGTCCATGAAAATGGAGGCAAGTGTTTTCCTCACCCCCCGGGGCTCTGTGGATCCTGATTGTAGAAGAAAGCCCCACTCTGAACTGTGACTGTGTGGGGAGTATGTGGGGGAGGCTGAGGGGATCTCTGTGAGGAGGAGAATTGGGGGTGAAGGTTGGAGATCCCCAGCAAGCCAGCCCCCACCAGAGCCAGCACCTCCCCTCATGGTTGTGTCCATGTGCCCCCAGGCTGTCCCTTACTGCCTGCCACCCAGACAGGGGCTTACCCGGCACTCACAGGGGTGGCTCCCTGGCCAGAGTGCCTGCCTTGTGCTGGAGGTCAGTGCTCAACCTCCCCTCAGGAGGACGCTCTCGGTGCCCGTCTGAATGCTGTCATCTCTCTGTCCTAGGGCTCCCGGGGCCGGCTGCGGGGTGGCCAGGGCTGGGAGTCCAGCCTCCGGCAGCGGCCCATGCAGCGACTCACCTTCCAGGCGGGGGACCCCTACTACATCAGCAAGCGCAAGCGGGACGAATGGCTGGCACGCTGGAAAAGGGAGGTGAGGTGCCTTCTGGCCGGGGCCCAGCCCATCCTACAGAACTAGAAAACCAAATGTTAGCTTCAGCCACCCTCTGGGGCTGTTGTCAGGCCTTGGTTGAGCCTCAGTTTCCTCTTCAGGTTTACTTCTCACACTTATAGGGGACTGCTTAATCCCTAGGCAGTGAGTGGTTCTTTTGTTCTTTCAACAAATGTCTACTGAACACATACCTTGTACCAGGCAGAATATTAGGCTCTGCTTGTTTAATTCCTGCCCTCATGGAGTTGGCATTCTGATGGGAGAGCCCAGCAGAAAACAAGCAAACCGAGGCTGAAATAGAGGCTAGCGAGGCCTGCTTTATGTGAGGTAGTCAGGAGAGGCTTCTTGGAGGTGGCAGCATTAAGACCTAAAGGAATAGAAGAACTGGCTCTGTGAAAAGTGGGATCTGGTAGAATGCAGGGAAAACCGCACAAACAAGGCAACGTGCAATATCAGTGTGCCCAGGGTGAAAGGAGCAAGAAAGTGAAGCCAAAAGGGTCTTGCAGGGAAGAAGGGTCTGATTGTCCAGGCCATGTAGGTCCTGGTCAAAAGCTGGTTTCATCCTGCGTATACTGGGAATCCATTTTATGTAGAGAAATGATTTGCTGAGGATTAACAGGACAGCAGTGGAGACAGAGATGGCAGATTCCATGGGATTGGTGAGGGCCGGTGGATGGAAGGTCATGGAGTGCTTCAGCAATGAGGAGTGGAGTGGAGCTGTTACGGCGGACCCCAAAGAGTGGGTTCTCTGCCTCTAGGGGAAGAATTCACTGAGAGTGCTAGGTGTAGTTGAATGAAGGCTTTGTTAGAGACTCATGCACCAGAAACCAATGCTGAAAAGGAGAATTTAGCCTGGCTCATCAAAGGTACTAGGTGGAGATGTTTAAAGGGTAAGTCCACCACATGGGGGTGAGATGGGGGCAGCAGTGTCAGAGCTTGTTCTGGGCATGCGCAGTTGGGTTACAGCCTGACCGCATGTGAGCCCTGGGCCTTGTCCCCCCAGGAGCTCATGAGATAATCGTTTGTGAGGGTCTGACGCTTTTTGCTGTGATGCGCCTCATGGTGGGCCAAACTGCTTGGACAGGGCTTCCCAGTCCATGATTCAGTCCACCTGTTCAAATATGACTTGGGGCAGCTCATCCCACCCAGCTTACCTCTGTTGTCTCGAGCTGATAGAGACTGAAAGACCAGGCTGGGCAGAAAACAGTGCACCACAGTGATGGGTTGGGCTGTTGTTGTGTATGTAGGATTAGTAGAGAAGCTGTTGACCAGGAAAGGAGCGGAAATGCCCTGGGGCGCTCCAGTGGGGCTTGGCTCTGGCTGATCTTCACCCCAGGCCTACAAAGGAAGCCAGTGGGGTGAGAGTTTGCTCTGGGGACTAGAGAAAGTTCAAAACAAGGCACGGGCTTGGCTACTCCACTGTTTCCAGTTCCTTGGGGATCTAGGCAGGCAGAAATGACTCTCCTAGAAGAGCCTGGGCTGGGGGTTGCCTGTCCAGGATTTGGGGAAGCGAGGTACTTGACCCTAAGCATTAAGTGTGATCTTTGGGATGGAAATTCAAGAGCTGGCCTATTCTCTCCATCTGTTCAGTGGTCCTGCTCTTGGGGCTTCGCTTTTAACCCCTCATTGTGTGTGATGCTGTTTCAGCTCTCCCTTTGTTCACTCTAGGGTCATAATGATTTTATTTTTAAAGATTTATTTATTTATGCGTGCGAGAACTAGCTGGGGTCCAGGCCAGAGGTGCAGGAGGGCGGGGAGTGAGAGGATTCACCAGAGAAAGAGTGGGGAGCAGAACAGGTGGATCTACTGAAATACACTGCTGAGGGGAGCAGCAAGCAAGACAGGAGAGGTCTGCTGCGCCATGTGGGTCAGCTCCCTGGCGGGGGATTGAACTCATGCTGCAGTGACTGCGATAGTTTCATAGCGCTGATGCTTAATCTCTTGTACCACCAGGGAGGCGCCATATGATTTTTATTTTATTATTATTTTTAATATTTTATTTTATATAATTCTTATATCATTTTTCATTTTTGCACTATAAGCATTTTCATTTTGGTTATATTCCCCATACAATTTCACCCCCTCTTATTTTGACCTTAATCCTTCCTCTCCCTGTCCCCCCATAATGCTTTTTATTTTTTATTTTATTTTATTTTTTTTTTTTATAGAGGCATGTTTTATTTATTTATTTTATTTGTTTTGTTTATACATGCACTGGGTACAGTCAGAAGCGCGGGAGGGTGAGAGAATTCACCAGAGCCAGAGCGGGGAGCAGAGCAGGCAGAAGGACCGAAGCACACTGCTGAGGGGAGCAGCGGGCGGCAGGAGAGTTCTGCGCGCCTTGTGGGACCCTCCTCCGGTGGCCAGGGAGCAGCCGGGGATCGAACTGGCGCCGCAGAGGCTGCGGGCAGCTTCGCAACCCAGCGCTCAACCGCTGCGCCACCGGGGAGGCCCCCATAATGCTTTTTAGACCTGAAAACAACTTCTAGAAATTTTATGGTTCTCAAACCGTGCTCCCATGAAGAAGCAGCATGGAGGCCTGCCCTTAGTGGCAATAAAAGGGAAGTTTTGTGGGCGGGGGCAAGAGGATGCCTTCTCTCAACTCAGCAGGAAAAATTAAGGTGATAGCTGTTTTCTCAACCTTAAGTTTTTGGTTTTGTTTTTTTAAAGATTTATTTATTTATTTATACAAGAACCGGGGTACAGGCCAGATGCACGGGAGGGTGAGAGGATTCACCAGAGACAGAGCAGGGAACAGAACAGGCAGACTGATGAAATACACTGCTGAGGGGAGCAGCGGGCGCTACAGGAAAGGTCTGCCGCAGCCTCTGCAGCACGAGTTCGATCCCCTGGCCAGCCAGGGAGAACCCACCTGGTGCAGCAGACCTCTCCTGTCTTCCCGCTGCTCCCCTCAGCATTGTATTTCATTCAGGCTGCCTGTTCTGTTCCCCACTCTGTCTCTGGTGAATCTTCTCACCCCCTGCTGTAAACCAGCTCTTGTATGCATAAAGAAATCTTTAAAAAATAATAAAATATTTTGGGTACATGTGACTTGAGTTGTGAAGACCTACAAACAAAATTTATTTCATGCTAGTGAAATTGTCCCTTATTCGTATGCTGTCACTGAAGATGTCCCTACAGAATTCCATGACTTCATATGAGTGTTTGTGCCATTGATGCGCTGGGCATTAGAATTTGACCTGCTACTTGGGCCTGGCCCTGAATACCATACTCTAACTTTTTGGGCTATCCCAGGAGGACAAAGGGTGGGGGCGGGGGCTAAGAACAGGTAACAAGAATGTGGGGATAGCTTTCAAGGTTCCCAAGTTCCCGTGGACTAAAGAGTGGAGCAGTCACATCAGCCAGCGTTCTCAGGGGCAAGCTTACTGAGAATACAGAAATCCAGCTGCTTTCGCTGTCTCAGCTGGGTTCTCGGGTCTTTGACTCTTTCTTCTGAAACTGCCTCCCCAGGCCTGAAATCTTCCCCATTTTCTCCAACTGCATCTCTTCAGCGTCCTCCTCTGCCCGTGTATGGTGGCTTCCCCAGGTCTCTGGCCCCACTCTCTACCAGTCTTGATCCCCTTGCCACTTGCATGCTGGCCTAGATCCTGCTACCCGCCCTCCTACCTTGCCTGCTGGACGACGGGGCTTCTGTTTCCCAGGCCATGTCACTGAAGGTCCAGCCATCTTCTCCTAGCCTGCTTTTTAAAAGTTTGCGCGGGGCACTGTTACGAGCTGATTACCAGAACCTTCCATGAATGTGTGCTGTGTAAGAGGCTGTCAGAGAATTCCTAGCTATCCATGATTAGATGAGGGTTCCTGGAACCTCAGGAAGAGCTTCTTCCTGAGGGGTGAGACTAATTCTGCTTGGGGTCATCCACAGCAGAAGGTGGCTCAGCTTCTAAAGACTGGGGGTCAGAGAAGGGGCGGAGGGCATGCAGGATGAGGGGCACGGCGTGTGTGGCATTCCAAGGCACAAGGATGTGGGCTCTCAAGTGTGTGCTGGGCTGAGAGCTGCAGGGGTGTGGCTAGGAGAGTGGATGGGGAGTTTGAGGGACCTGGGGGCTTTATGCCCTGCTGTGGGGCTTCCACCAGGCCCTCATCTGCACGTACCCCTTCTCCTGACCCCCTCTCCAGCCTTCCATCAAAACACCCCCTTGAATTCCATTTCCTTTTCCCAGGAGCACCCTTGTCAATTAGGTCACAGTTATTGAGTGAAGTCTGCTCTTTTCTGTCCATCCAAGATGATCTATCTCCCAGATTCCCCCCCCCCAAAAAAAAAAACTTCCTCCCAACATTATTTATTTATTTATTTTTAAAAATTTATTTATTTATGCATACAACAGCTGGGGTACAGGCCAGAGATGTGGGGAGTGAGAGGACTCACCAGAGACAGAATGGGGAACAGAACAGGCAGACTGACTGAAATACACTGCTGAGGGGAGCAGCGGGCGAGACAGGAGAGGTCTGCTGCGCCATGTGGATTGCTCCCTGGCCAGCCAGGGATCAAACTTGTGCTGCAGAGGCTGTGGACCACTTCACAGTGCAGTGCTTAACCCCCTGCGTCACCAGGGAGGCCCTCTCCCAACATTTTTTAAAGAAGACTTAGAATAGCACAGAATGAATGACATTTAAAATAAGTGGATGAGGAAAAAAAGACATTCCCTCCTTCCCTGGGATGGAAGTGGAATTCCTGTTGGAGCTGCTATTAACTTCTCTGTCCCATCTCTCTTGCCTTCACCGTTTTACTAATCCTTTCAAGGATTAAACTCGCTTTAATCATGAACAAACTCTCATATGGGCCTTCTGCTGTGCTTAAGCCAAGGAGAGCCTTCCTTGACCTAGCAGAACTGGCCTCGGACCAGATAGGGAGCAGGCAGAGGGGAGGCAGATCCTTCTCCTGGAGGAGGGCTTGTCCGGGCTCCCCTTTCTGATGGTCAGAACAAAAGAAACCCTGAGGGAGCGCTTTGGGTGTAGGAAAGGCTTCTCAGTCATGTGTTATTTCCTTGGCCCTCCCCCACTTTGAGATGGTGGGGTGTGGAGTTCCAAGCAAGCGCCTAACAGCCCTCTGGCCATGGGCCCCAGATAGTATCCGGGCTGTGGTTTTAGGATGCCAGGCTGGTGTGATGATGTCACAGCTCGCTTCACCCCATCCTGAGTCTAAATTATTTCAAGGCAAAATAATCACATCCTGCTGTTCTAGAATTTGGACCTTTTCTGGGCTCTCTAACTGAAGGGAGGACCCAACTTAACCTTACACTAATTAGGTGCTTAATACATAGAAATATTGATGATAACAAATAATCTGTGGCTGAAATATCCATCTTCTCTCCTCCTTTCTCCTCCCCTCAGGCTGCAGGGCAGGTAGCAAAGTCTTCACATTCTCAAAGGCAGGGCCTTTGGTGATGAGTGCAGGTGTGGACTTGTCACTCCCCTGGAGGTGGGCTCGCATCACCTACCTTCACGGTGCTGGTGTCGCCCACCATGCTGGACTCAGCTGTGCTCTGCTCGCCTGGGCGGGTCTCATGTCCTGGAGAGCCACACCTACTAGGGTTTGTTTTGTGCTCTACCCAGCTCAGTGCCAGCACTCTGGCCATCTCTGCTGCCAGGGGTGGCGTCGGGGAGGTACTGGGTCAAGGTTTGCTGAATGAATAAGTAATTCTCATCTTAGCATCGTGTGCATTAACAGGGTAACACAGGCTCCCGACACAGGGCTACCATAGCATAGGAACTTGATAATTCTTAAAATGATATTAATTGCTTAAGTATTACACAAACATATTTCTGGGAAAAAAACAAATCTACCTCTCCCCCATGATTTTAATTCCTCTACAAGTGGTACCCGGTGTTATCAGTTTGGTGTATATACAACATGATTTTTTCTAGCCATCTACGTGTGTGTGAATACATAACTTTACTTCACAGTTGCTTTTTTCTCCCTTTTCTTTTTTTTACATAAGTGGAACCACACCATAGTTTCATTTTACATCTTGGTTTTTCACTTATAATAAGTCTGGTCAACCTAGCCACGCACGAACTGTTCCCTTCCACCATATGGACGGCCGTGATTTTATTGAACTGCTCTCTTGTCGTGGGCCATTATGTTGTTTATGGTATTTCGCAGCCTAAGCATTGTAGCAGTGTCCTGCCTCTTTGTGCATCTGTGCTTCTCTGAGATACCTAGAAAGAGAGATGTTGGATCGTAGGGATTGTGCATTTTGCATTTAATAAAATCTGCCAAATTGCCCTCCAAAACAGGCAGCGCCAATTTATGCTCCTGTAAACAGCGTATGAGGAGACTTCCACCTTTGCCAACATCAATATTTTGCTAATCTAATGGGTGCGAAACCAGTATCTTGTTATGATTTTAATTGGATTTCCCAGATGATAAGTGAGGTTGAACATCTTTTCATATGGTTATTGGCCATTTGTGCTGCTGCTTCTGTGAGCTGAGCAAATGGCGCTTCCTCTTGCTTTACAGCCCTGCAGCTTCGCAGACTGTGCTTCCTGTCGGCCTGGGAAGAGCAGCCTGGGAATGTCCAGAGGGTCCTCTCCTGCTGGGCGATATTCCTTTAATAAGCAATCACTAAGCACCCACTGAGTAGGGGGGCATTGTACTGGGGGCTTTGGAAATAAGGAAATGAATTAAGTGTGATCTCCTGGGCCTTTGCCAGGAGACATGAGAAAGGGCAAAGCAAAGTGGACCATTAAGGATAAAATCAAATTATTAGCAAAGGATGTGGGTAGTTCGGGTATTCTGAACGGACAGACCTTTCTCTCCATCATTCACCACGTAGAAATGAACAAAAACCTGAACTTGGGCAGGCTGGCCTCAAAAAATAGCATCACCTGGTGATGCCATTTGGCGCCGGCAAGTGTATTTTACCAAAAGGCTGAACGTGTTTGAAGGGGGCTGTGGTGACAGCCCCCTCTGTCCAGGGCTGGCCTTCAGAACAGGCTGTGAAATAGTCATCACAGAGACTCCCCATTTACCCTTAGGTGGGGTGGACTGTTTACACCTGGAAGTGTTTGCTTATTCTGGGGCCGCAGAAGAATGGCAGTTAGAACCAGCCCACTTCCTAGCGTGAGAAAGTAAGTGGCAGGGAGAGTAGTAGTAACTTGCCCAGGGTCCACAGCAAACCCCGAAGGAGGCAAAGAGGTGCCTTTGCTAATAGCAGGTTCATGTTTACAAAGATTCAATTTTTTTTTTTCCATAAAGCTCACTAGTCCGGTGCTAGTGTCTTGTCTGCCTTCCTCCTCATCACTGTCTGCATTTCCTCCTCTGTCCTTCTCTTGCCAGCATTGGAAAGGTAGAACGGGAAGCTGGGGTGTAGGCTTGAGGGAGGGGCTTGAGGTCCTCGCTGAGAAGGGGGCACAGTAGGACTCAGTGTCTGCAGCTGGCATTTCCTAAGCGTGGGAGTTACATCCCTGCTCCTGGCTTTGGTCACCCCCGGACCTGCCCCTACCGGCAGTTTTCTTTTCATTAATCACGTTAGTGTTAGTGTTCGTCTGTTATTTCAAGTGTTGTTGAGCCTTAACGGGCAAATCCTGTGTTCAGAGACTTTTAGATAATGCCCTGTGAGTCTGGGCGCCTGCTGTGCTCCAGTGTTCACGAGACACTGAGGGAACATGAAGGGGAAGTTGGGGGTCCCACACTCCCCTCCCCCAGAGGTTAAAGTGTACTGCACCCCAGTCAGGGCTGTGACAGGGACAGGAGCAGAGGGGCCGTGGGCACACCAGCTGCCCTGCCGAGGGCTCCGGAAGGCCTGGGGGAGAGCTGTCTTGTCACCAGGAATGGGAGGTGCCTGTCAGACACAGAGGGGGATGGGCACAGAGCGGGACCCTAAGGTCTGTAGTTATTCCAAGAAGTCTCCCAGCCCCAGGAGTTTGGGTCTATAGTGCCTCAAGGGCCTTTGCATATTTAGTTCACTTTTAGAAGCAGCCTCATAGCACTTTCTATGGGGCCAACATAGGAGAAGATATGATGGTGAACTTCTCTCTGCTTTGCTTTAAAGACTAGGCCATTTGTCAGTGAGGCCCCAGGGGTGTTCAGCAGGGGGTGACCTTTCTCTGTGACTCACAGGTATACTAGTTGAAGGAGGTAATGGATCTGAATTCAGGGGTCACTAAATGCTGGGAACTGTGCTGTCCTGGACACGAGTCGCATGCAGTCCTGTCCCAGAGGCACACACCGTCTAGCGGAGGAGCCTTGGTCTGTGCTCCTGGCACCAAGTCTGGTGAGCACAGAGGTGAGAAAGTTTCGTTTGGATTTTCTGGAGAATTCTGGGAAAGGGAGGTATTGAGAATTCCAAAAGGTGTAAATGAGAGGAAGGACTGCAAGGGAAAGAAACCACTGTTTCACTTAGGGAACAGCAAGAGATCTGGTAACTAGGGTGTGGGGGTTGGGGAGGAAATGTAAGAAGAGATAATACTACAAAGGAAGATGGTCAGATCGACTAGGACCTCCCTCTTGACAGTGAGGAACTTGGGCTCCATTGTGCAGTGAGTATTTTAGGAGGGAAACCCTGGCTGCCTTGCCGGGTTGCCGGGGTGCCGAGCCTGGGAAGCTGAGGAGCAGGACTGATTGGAGGGCATTACCTTTGACTTGGACTGAGGGGTCTGGTAAAGCGAGAGACTTGATGAAGCTGGTCTCCAATTGGTGGGAAGGGAGAGGAGTTTGGAGGCTGAGGTGGGGATCATTATCTGAGCTCGAGAATCCTGGAGGAATGGTAGGTTTGGCCTTACAAGGTGCTATTGTTATAGGACAGGGAGAGGGGCAGCCCAAACCCCGCGGACCACCCTGTTACACTATGAACTGTTTTCTGAAGGATGCATTTTTTTTTTAAATTTTATTTATTTATTTTTGCACAGAAGAACTGTGGTCCAGCCAGAGGTGCGGGTGGGCGAGGGGATGGTGAGAGAATTCACCGAAGACAGTGGGGAGATCTACTGAAACACGCTGGTGAGGGGCACAGCGGGGGAGACAGGAGAGGTCTGCTGTGCCATATGGGTTAGCTTCCTGGCCAGGGGTCCAATTCTGGCTGTGGAGGTGGGGCCTTCGCAGTGGCAGCGCTGACTTAATCCCTAGGCCACCAGCGCAGCCCCGAAGGATGCATTTTGATGAGCCGAAGTTTTTCACTGTAATGACGTCCAATTGATCCCTCTTTCCTTTCATTGGTCAGTGTAGGATCTCTAAGAGTTCTCTGCCTGCCCAAGTTCATGAAGGTAGTCTCACAATAGGGAGGATTTCTGAGTTAGATTTTGGACGAGTTGCTTTTTGAGAAGCCGGCAGGGTGGTTGTCTGTGGGGAGAGGTTTAGTAGCAGCTCAAAAACTGGGCCTGGAACCAGACTGGGAGTCACTCATGTAGAGGGCAAGTGCGGGCAGGAGGGGGAGGCGGGGAGTAAGGTGGGGTGGGGGTGGGGGAGGCAGGAAAAGTCCGGGACCTGAGGCTTCTGGAAGCAGCTGGCAACCGGGACAGCGTTGGAAGAATTTCTGGGACCAGTCAGAGTAGTACTCAAGGCCCCATTTCCAGCAGCCTGCAGAGCCCTTTCTTACCCCGTCAGGCCCCGTGGCCACCCCCACCCCTCACTTCTGATTTTACACTCTCCTGAGCCTGCAGGCTGCGCCCGGGTGTCTGGGCGTGTGTGGGAATCTCACCACCCTTCTGACTTGCCATTCTTTAATAACCACTCTTCACAGGTGCCATCTGACTCTCCCCCATTCTTCTTTAGTCGGTGAATGGCGGGCAGTGTAAATATTTCAACTTCTCGCTTCCAACTCAGATGGATTAAACACAAACAGGGACAAAACAGCTCGGTCTCCGGTATGTTTGGAGCTCGATGCAGTTTGGACGGCAACTTTCATGCAGCAAAACACAAACAAAAACAAAAGTTGAGTTGGACTCACTCTATTGCATGCCCAAGATGCTATTCGAATTTAGTGTTTCTCCATTAGAATGGGGCGCAGAAATGTGCCTTTTTAGGCAGAAATGTGCTGTGATTTTCAAGCCAGCCCCTCAGATGGTTGTGGGGTTCATGAAACTGCGAGCTGCCAAGCTTTGGATGATTTGATGTGAACGAAATCTGTCACAGAAGAGTGAGCCCCAAAGACGCACTTGCGGGAGGATCACACACGCCCTTTGCCCACACAGAGTCACGTGGGAGTTTTGCTTTGTGCTGGAGTCACTGTGCCTATTTTAGTGAAGCCCCGGCCCATCATTTCTAAAGTGTGCAGGTGTGAGGTACGGCCCAGCTTGGCTTGGCAATCTCTGACCTTGAATAACGAGCTGAAGCTGAGCCACCGGGACTCTAAGGCAGGGAGAGCTAGGGGACCCTTTTCAAACATGAGGGGGTGGAGGGGGAAAGACCGGAAAGGACTTGGAGGAATTCAAATTTTTCCTTTGGGATGGAGATGGTAGGTGGCCCTGCTGTTTTCAGCAATAGTTTGCTGCAAAGCTTATCTGCTGGCTCCACCTGGGTCTTCTCTTTGGACCCTGAAACCCGAGAGCGTCTGCAGGCTTGAATCTGAATGGTGGTCCCTGAGGCTCCTCCCTCTGGTCCCTGCAGCCTGGAGAGGGATGGGGGAGGGAAGGGAAAGCAGCTCAGGCCCTTCCGGTTTACCTGGTCCCTTTTGACCCACCTAAGCCTAGGTATGAAATTAACACTTCTCTCCCCGGGTCCGGTTTTGAAAGCAAGGGGACATCCCCATGCCCTCGAGCAAACTCATCAGACGGTTTTTTCCACCTGTCACATGGTGCGCCCTTCTGACTCCCTCTGATTTCATTTGTGTTTCTCAGCAGGTATTTGTGTCCCATTAGGAAACCAAGACCCAAAGAAACTAGGTACTTAGTTAAGGTCTTATCAGCTGATACCCTGCTCAGCCTGACACGTCACACCCCGCTCCTGCTGGTTTTCCTGGTAAGGGGCACTGAGGTCTGGGGACATTCGGTGCTATCACCCCTCCCCCCAAGCCCACACACTCACTGCCCAGACCCTGAACTGTCTCACTTGCAGGTGGAGCTACATAGGCCCAGCAGCCCCTGCTGGGGACGAAGGTGATCCGGGTTTGTGGAGAAGCCTGTTGGGGTGCAGACCCAGAGCTGTAGGGGAGGACAGGAAAGGAGGGAGGAGGTAGCAGCTGAAGGCAGATCTGGCAAGTTAGCTTCCAGACATGCACCTTTGGGGAATGAAGTGAGCACCTAGAGAGCATGCGGGCCCCAGGGAGGGCAGATGATCATCCAGCAAGTGCCAAGCAGCGCCCTGCGTGTGTTCTCATTCCTCCTCTACATCTGCCAGGAAGCTCATGCAATTGCTGACACCCCAACTGATGTGGCGTTCCTATCTGAGAAGCCCTGGGGGGCTTGCCCAGTGCGTTTCACCCTCTCACCCTCCCTCCAGTCTGCCCTGCCTTGACTGATCACTGCCTCCTCAGGTTTCCTTCAGCCCACAGAGGAGCTTCTCTACCGCATAAGTGACTGTCTGAGTGCGCGCTGTCTTGAGTGAGGGCTGTGGCTTCACATGCTGGGCCCTGGGCACTCAATAAGGCTGTGAGTAATGGAGGGCCGAGGCCACCTCTGCTGTGTCCTCACCTCCTCAGTCGCCTCACAGCCCAGCTCCTGCAGATGCTCAGGACTCCGGGGCCCAAGTGTTTCCGGCAGGTTCAGAGACTGACTCCCAGGCAGAGCACAGCCTCCTACAGGTTTCAAGCCAGACTGGCACAGGGGTCAGGAGGCCCCTACCCCATGTTTGCCCTAGCAATATACCTCTCCAGGTTTGGGGCAATGGCATGGCGCCCCAGCAGCCAGCACACCACAGTTACCATGGTGACCCTCTTACTTTTCTTCCTAAAGCGGGTGGATTTCTCTTTCAGCCCCAGCCTTCTACCTGGGCTGCCACTTCTCAGCACACCCTGGGAGGCAGACTGCCCAGCCCTCCTGCCAACTCTGGCGGCGGGGACTGTCAGTTTCCAGTCATAGTTACTTATCGGACAATAGTACGTTCTGGTTAGAAAGGGGAACAGGAAGGAAAGGCCCAGGAGATGGGGTGGCTCACCTCAGATATGGCACAGAGGGCCCTTGCCAGGGCGGCTCCTGCCTGCCCTCGTCCCGCACACCATCTTCATGACTGGCTCTGACCCTCTGGGTGCCCTCAGCTTCCTCACTCGGAACAGGGCAGCCAGTGCCACTGGTGGTTTCTCCGCTTGACTGGCATCGCAATCACCTGGGGGGGGGCGGCTTTAATAGATTTCTGAGGCTTACGCCAAACCTGCTGATCTGCTGGGTAGGGCCCAAGAATCTGTATTTTTAAAAATCCTTCTTGGTTAAACCCAAGTGAGCTTGGGATTCTGGCAAGATGATCTGTTAGGCTGTCATGGAAAGAAAAGGAAGCTCTGCTTGTGCTGAGGTCTGACTGGCGTTTCTGGGTTCCAGGAGCTTCTGAAGAACCCCTTCAGATCCTCCTGTCAGGAAGCCGGTGTTTCCTGGTCATACTGGCTTAGCCTAGACCAGGCCCCCACCTTTCCCCCACAGGAGAGCGAGAGAACGGCAGGAAGGAGGGGGGGGGGGCGTTGCCATAACAACCAGCTCCAGGCAGAGGCCTCCCTTCCAGGGGCTGGTACTTCACCCCAGTAATGGTGGTTTCCATGGAGATGGCTTTCTGAGGGGCAGGGGGAACAGTTGCCCCACTTAGAGCATTAATCAGGACCTGCCAGAAGGCAGAACATCTCCAGGTAGGAGTCTTGGACCCCTGTCAACTCAGAATCCCCCCACCATCTCCTCTGCTCTCCAGACGCAGGTCTGACACTTTCTCCTGCTTTGTGGCTCTCTCTGAGACCAGTCTCCCTAGCAACAAGTCCTGCTAACTCCTTGCTGTTGGCTCCATGGCTATTTTTAGCTTCCCTGCCAGCAGCCCAGTCCTGGTCATTTGCTCACAACCTCCATATGGGTTGCAGGGGAATAGGAATACAAAGATTCCTGGCCTCTTTGGGGAGCCCTGAACCCCTTAGCATCTATTAGGGTTTTGGTACGGGAAGTGGCTGTTCCCAGGGGGACCCTGGACAGTGGATTCCAGACGAGGCTGCGAAGGCAGTGTTAAATTCAGTTCAGCAAATGCTGTTTTAATCACCACTATGTGCAAGGAGCCTTGGTCCCCACCACTTCCATATGAAGCTGAATGAGGCCCAGTCTTTGCTCTCTGGGAATTTTAATCATGTGGAGGAAAAAGATGAGTACGCAATCACCATAGTGCAGGCAGAGATTGGCAGGTGCTAAGAGAAGATTACAAAGTGCAATGGGGAGACCTGAGGAGGCAGAGGAAGGGGCTGGGGAACAGAGTAATTAAGCAGAAGGGGGAAGTAAGGGACTCAGGTGGCACAGCAGCACCATTTACTACACTTGATCTTAGCCAAAAGGCCGAGAAGCGATAGCAGCACCATTTACTAGAACTCTCCACCATGATAGAAATATTCTACTAAAGATCTGTGCCATCCGGTACAGTAGCCCCCGCCACATGTGACTCCTGGCACTTAGAATGTGGCTGGTCAATTAAAGAACTGGATTTTCATGTTATTTTTATTAAATTAAAAGCCACATGCAGCCAGTGGCTACCTTATTGGATAGCTCAGGTCTAGAGTAAACTTCCTGGTTGCAGTAATCATCACTGAACTGGGCTGAGAAGGATGGGCAGGATTTTGGTCTGTGGAAGTTGCAGGAGAAGAGTGAGGAGCAAAGAGAGCAAAGACTAAGAGGCAGGGCAAGGGCAGCTCTGGGGAAGAGCACATGGGTGGGTGGGCAGAAGGAGGCTGCGTGGTGTGACACAGTCTCTAGATGATGGGCTCCAGAGCACCAGGCCAATCGGCAGGTAGACGCAGAACGCTAAGGCTTTTGATCTACAGGTAGGGGAGGCCAGGATCAGAACAGACATCTACCGTGATGTCACAGCCTCTCGTTGGACAAGGTCTCCCTGGTCTTGGGTCAGTGGGAATACTTGTGTGGCTAAAACATTATACGTAAGCATTGGCTTTCCAGTATATTCCCAGCATATTGTCTTACAGATGGCTTCTGATGTTGAGTAAAGGGACTCAGATGGTAAATGTCATGTTTCCCACATGTTGTCAGCACTGGCTTCTATGACAAGCATGCCACGGAGGATGGGCTTCAGTTAAAACCAGTCAGGTGTTCCTACCTGGGCCTATGGGTTACTGCTCTTTGGTGGGGTCCTGGCCTTGTGTCTCATCTCAGTTCTGAGAGGCTGGAAAGTCAGGTGAACTGCTCTTCAGAGACACAGGAGAGTGACAGACACAAGAATGTGAAATCTACTGATTTAGAACAGGACATGTCCTTGCCACACAAACCCTAGTACTTCTCCTGCTGTTTTCTGGCTTACTGGTACCAGAGTCACTGGAAAATGTAATTAAAATTAGAATTTGCTTGATGACTACGGGATCAGGGCTAAGAGAGTCAGGTGTCCCTAAGAGATATTTTCATCAGGTTTGGTGGCTACTGAATCACTGCCACCTGCCTGCCAACAGGAAATGTGTCCTCTCTTTGAGGTCACCCTCTCTTTTGGACCAGGCTGGATACTTCCTCTCCAGCACTTCTTTTAGGCTCTTGACATCTACCATATTTTCCTTTCATCCAGAGTTTCTCCTTTCAACATACCTTTATAACATTTCCAAGATCCTGGCTTGTTTCTCATGACCCTGCTATTTTAGGCTTCCTATCTTTATCTCAATCAAAGGACCCATCCCAGCAGCTCTCCTGGGTCACTTTGGAAGGTCAAGGACAGATGTGACCTGGGAGTCCTCGAAGGCGGCCCTGGTGTTTTTCTTGACCTCTTGTCCTAGATCTCAAGGTCTTTTCTGCTTTGGGGTCTGTCTTGCCCTGTGAGCACAAAGAAGCCAGGGATGTAGCTGACTCATAGTCTAGGAGAGAGTGACTTTCTAGCTGCAGAGCCACAGGAGAGGGGAGGTGCCCTGGGTTGGTGAGGGGACACCTTGGAGTGTAGGCTTCCTTGGAGTGTAGGCTGCAAGATTTATTTATGCATACAAAAGCCTAGGTGCAGGCCAGAGGTGCGGGGGGGTGAGAGGATTCACCAGAGTGGGGAGCAGAACAGGAAGATCTACTGAAATACACTGCTGAGGGGAGCAGCAAGCGAGACAGGAGTGGTCTGCTGTGCCATGTGGGTCAGCGCTCTGGCCTGGGATCGAACTCGTGTGGTAGTGGCTGCCAATTGCTCCATAGTGCTGAGACTTAACCCCTGGCGCCACCAGGGAGGCCCTGTGTGCTTAATTTTAAAGACTAGGGAATTTTGGCAGGTGGAGGCAAGAGGCTGCTTTATAAGTAGGCCGAGGGAAAGCAGACCCGACAGTGCCCTGCTCAGGCCGGACAGTACATGGGCATCATGGGCCTCGCTGCTCGCTGTCTGAAGGACTCCCAGGAGCACAGGTGTAGAGTCCGAGGTGATTAGCCACATTATAATGGACAAGGAGGTTCAGAGATGAGACAGAGTATCTGAAGTAAGCTGCCAACCAGATCAGAAACTTCATTTTGAAAGGAGGCCTGGTGTGAGGTCTGGAGTTTTGTTGACAAGGCCTGGATACATCAGTGACAGAAGAAGCTAAGCTGGTCATATTACATTCCTTAAAAGTTAGGAGCAGGCAAGAGATAGAAATTTAGGCTGTCACACTACATGGGGATCTCCTAGAGAATTACACTAAGCAGATTCCCGGGGGGGGGGGGGGGGGCGTGGCAGGGAGGCTTGAAAGTTGGGGTGGGGCAGAGCAGGACTGGTGGTTTGGGGAATGGCTCTGTGGAGTCTGGGTCTCAGTCCGCTAGGGTGGGTGTAGGTGGAGTTTGTATTATTTGGAGGAAGCGCTCTGACTTGGAGTCCTCTTCCTCCCTCAGGCTGACTTGTTCTGGTGGCCCCTGGAAGGTTCTGAGCCTCAGGAAGGATGATGGGCTCTTTTTCACAGCATAGCCCTTGACCTCTTTCTACAGGCACCTGCTTTAGTTGGTTTGCTCTTTCTTCAAGAGAGGATGGTATTTTAGGGCCAGGGGAGGCAGATGTCATCACTCTTGTTTTGCAAATCAGAAAACTTCTTGGGACTAGACTGTTCAGGGACTTTTTGGGGATGAAATAGGTTGTTCACCCTCATGATGGTGGAACCAGACCCAAGTTCAGATCTTCTGACAAGTGCTGCTGGCAGCATTTGCCTTCAGTTCCTCTGCTCTTCCTCCCAGTCCAGTTGTGCAAACTGAAACTAGGCTGACCTTTCCAAAACCCCCACCCACCGGTCTCATCAAAAAACCTGCAAGTGGTCTTCAGTGCTGTGGATGGTGTCCGTGGGCATCTTCCACTGCACCCTCAAGCTTCCTTGTGCCTGGAGAGGTCACTGGCAGGGATTTCCTCCCTTCTCAGCCTGACATCACTGATTTCCTATTTACCCCATATTCCAAATCTGATTCACCCTCCCGGCCAGGCCTCTGCTCTGCCCCCCACTGTCCTTCAAACCACACATTATTTGTTGTCTTCTAGGTCCTCCTGCCCCCTTGGCTTGGTATTTATGATTGAGTGAAGTTTACAGAGGTCGTCTCTTAGTGACCTTTTCCTGCCTCTCCAACTCTGGTAGAATCTGTCAGCTCCTTGCGGACAGGGCAACAGTAGGGAGTCCTTATCTGATGTGGGCGGAGCTGTGTGTTCTCCTTGGGGGCAAGGCCAGGAGGATGGAATTTGAAATGGTTGAGGCTGCACCTGGAGGCTCCGCTGGTGGCCTGGGAGTGAAGGAAATGGCTCAAAGTTTGAGGTATACCCCCTTCTCTCCACCTCCGAGCAGGAAAAGGAGAAAAGTCCATGGCAGCCCCAAAGTGACCTGGGGGATCCGGGGCTTCTGCCAGGAAGACAGGTTTCCAGGTCCGACTCCTCACGCACGCTTGAGAGGCCTCCTCTGTCCACCTGCAGTGTGGATGTCAGAGGGGCGCCCCCGCCCCAATGGCTCTTGTTCTGGAGCCTTCCCAATTTCTGGGCTGTGCCTTCTATCCGTCTTTGTGCTGTGAGTTTTCCTACGGCTTCCTGGGCCGCTTCGCTCATCTGTAAGTTTTTCCTTCTCTCTCTTTTTTTTTTTTGTTTGGTAGTGCTTCTAAGGGACTCACTTTTAACAACTTTCTCCTGGCTCGCCCAACTGCCCGAAACCCGGGCCCTCCGGCCCGCGCTCCTGGTTCTCAGCGCCCCCAGCTCACCTCCGCCGGCCCGTCCCCCCCCGGGACCCCTGCGGCCCTCGCTCCGCCCCGCGGGGTCCCCGCCTCGCCCCCCAGGCGTGCCCAGCTCTCCGCGAGTTGGGGGCAAGGGGCGGGGAGGGCCCGGCCCCGGGGAGGGGAGGGGCCGCCGGGCCGGGGCGGGGCCCTGGGAACGGGCGGAGGCCCAGGCTCGCCCCCCGGCCCCTCGGACCGGAGGAGAGGGGCTGGCCCGCTGCCAGCGCCGAGAGCCGGCCCCCTCCCCCGGCCCGCTCGCAGCCAACCAGGCCCTCCAGCGGGGCCCACGTGACCTGGAGTTCTAGACAAAGAAATGTTCGAGCCCTCCCCCCCACCGCCCCCCTCCCCCTCTCTCTGGCCCCCTCCGCCCCCAGCCCCCTCGCCCCCTTCCCCTCCCCCCAGTCGGGCAGCTACTTACAGAGCTTCAGGCCCGGGGCTCACACCTGAGCCGGACCGCAGAGGGGCTGCACCTGGCCTTATGGGTAGGTTCCTGGACGGAGCCCTGGGGAGGCGGGGGGCGGGGGGGGGCCGGTGGGAGGATCCCCGGGTTGGGGAAGAGTCCAGTGCACCTCCCTGGCCCGGGTTCTGGAGATGCTAGTTGGTGCTGTCCCACCCACTCGCTCCTAGGGGCCCCAAGGCCCCACTTGTGCCTGCGCTCAGGTGGGACCTGGCGGGTCGGAGGCCAGGAGCAGCAGCCCTGCGTGCGCCCGGGGCCGTGGTGAATGAAGGCAGGGCCAGGCCTGCCTGGAAGGGTGCTCTGGCTGAGCGGCTGGCAGATGGGCTGCTGGCATGTCCTTGCTGACCTGTGTTCCTGGCTGGTGGACCACACTGTCCTCAGGCCATGCCAACCTTGCAGACTCCTGAGAGGGAGTTTCCTCTCCCGTGTGTCCCTGCGAGCCACTGGGCAGGCACCAGAAAGACGTGGTGCTGGGTGGCAGCGTGGCCCTGCCGGGGCTGTGGCACATCGAGGGGGCCTGAGGGGCAGCCTGATGCCCCCGGTGACGGGACAAGCGCAGGGGACAGGCTGGGATTTGCTGCAGGAGCAAGGAGTCCGCGTGGTCGCTCAGAACTCTGACCTTTGGAGCGGAAGCAGCCAGAGTGGAAGAGGGAGGTGGAGGCGGGACAGCTGTTGGAGGAAAGGGGACGGGACTGGACGGGAGGCCTTGCCTTGGCAGTGCGGAGTTATCAGTGGCTTCCCCGCCTGCACAGACTCTGGGCCAAGTGGCTTAACTGAGATGCAGTTGTGGGGGGTGGCAGTAGCATCTCCTTGATCCCACCCAATCTCTTGGCTCCTCTGGGGTGGGACCTGCTGAACTGAGGGTAGGAGCCTTTAACCCAAATGCTGGAGCCCTGAGTTAACCCTTCTTTCTCCTATTGTTTGCCGGGGGAGAAGGGTTGGAGTGAACATGGAAACAGGCATTCCCCAAGGCCTTCCCTGACTATTCTAATGAGCCCCTCCCCCACCCAGCCACTGTCTCTGCTGGTCTTCCCCTTCTCTCTCGCCTCCTGCTGCTAACCCACCCCCTCTTCCTCCCCCCACACCCCCCACTGGCCTTGTCCCGATGGAGGCCCCCTTCCTCCTCTGCCTGCCAAAACCATGCAGGGTGCGTGTTCTCCTGCACCCAGTGGGTTGGGGGGGGGGGTTGCTTAACAGCCATCAGCAGCAGCATCTGACAAGCTGGGGGAAGTTGTGGGGGAAGAAGAATGTTCAGGAACTCACTGAAGAGGGGTTGAGCTGAGAGACAAAGGGGCTGTGGAGTACGGAGGGTGGTGTCAGGCACGACTCCCTTCCAGACACCCGCTGCTGCTTGCCGTGGAAGTGACTCGGCTCCATCCCTCAGAAGGCCCCCTCCTGCCACCTGCATACCTTGTTCTGACTGAGGGGCCTGTCAGCCCCGGAAATGGGGCCTTTGGATCATCCAAGGCAGCGCCCTGATCTAGATGAGCCTCCATGCCGCACTCCGGAGGAGGCCTGGCTGGAGGGAAGGGAGCGGAGACAGCCAGGTATGGCGCCTAATAGTCAGTGGATCTGGGCCGCAGCTGAGGATTCTAGAAGAGAATCCTCCTCCCACACGGGGTTGAGTCCACACCTAGGTGCACCTTCTTGAGAGGTGATGATAGATAATTGGTAGTAGGAGGGGAGGGCAGAGTCCCGGCCAGGTGAGAGTGGGGTAGGAAAGGATGAACAATTACTTTGCATTCTTCCCCCAACCCCCGCCCCCAGGCCCCAGGAGCTCCTCCTCCCTGCTGTTTGTGGACTGGGGGCGAAGGAGGCATTTATCCCACTTTAGAAAGTGTTGAGTCAGAGAAAGTACCAGGACTTCCATCCTCAGGGGTTTGGGAACGACTACAAAAACAGCTTTGGTCTGTTGCCAGGGGGCAAAGTCTTTGAAGACTGACTGAAATAAAGTGAATCTACAAGACAGTAGACCATTGAGCGGAAAACAAAGGTGCTTAACCTGCGACCCTGGGATCCCCTGATCCTTTGACAGGCTTTGAAGAGTCCTTGGAATTCTTGATACATTTATACATCAGACTCTTAAGCCAGCCTGCAAAGGTTAACAGAAATCCTTTTGGTTCAAATGCTACTTAGTGTGGAACAACACTGAGAAGGTTCTGCTCCCAGCCGGCTCTTGCTTAGCTGCAAGGCTAAGAGTAGGGCGTTGTCCTCGACATCGGGTTCAGGACTTACTCTCCACATGGCTTTCTGATGTTCTTTTTTTAATCTTGAGGATGGGTTTGCATTCATAGCTCTGAGCTCTCAGGGAAAGCTTCACATTGAAGGGCATATGAAGGTGGGTTTTTTTTTTTTTTTTCTGACTGTTGTGCTGGAAAGGGGTGCAGAGCTGAAGTTGGAGGGCCACTTGTGTTCCATTCGGCAGCTGGAGTGACTGAGATTAGATTGAGTAGCTCTCAGCTAAGTAGCAAGATTTCATTCTCTGTAGGGTGACGGGAATCCTGGAGCAGGTTTTGAGAAGGAAAGGTACGGATGGCACTGCCCAGTTCGGAGAATAATTGGGTTTGGCTTATTTTGTCCGTGGGATGGCAGAGAGAATGCCTGGCATAGAGTGTGTGCTCAGTCAGTAACTGCTGAAAGAATAAATGTGTCTGCATCTGAAAGGTGCACTTAGAAGAAGGAGTAGAACACACTTTGGATGCAATCCTAGGAACTCCAGGATGGCATGGGAGCAGGCAAGCTTTTATGGAACTCTAGGGTGTTTGAGCAGATGGAGTAGGAGATGAGCTTTTTAAACACAGTGCAGTGATTTCTTCAGTAGACATCACGACAAAACTAGAATCCTGGTCTGGAAGCCAAGATCAGGAATAGCTGGGGTTGATTGCCCAGGAAAATTGTGATGGAAACCGCAAGAGGATCCAATTCTTGATTGGGAAGTAAGCTAGGAAAGGATCGAGCCAACCAAGATTTGAACCTAAACAATCATTCATGGTTAGAATTAACCTCTCCGTGTTGGAGTGTGGGCAGCTGCGGATACTTACCAATTGAGGAAGGGTAATGAGGCCAGGGAGGAAGCTTTCCTGAGAGCAGGTGGGAATGGAACCAAATGATTTGAGTTCACCTTCTACTTCAGCTCTTCCTGTTTTCCATGGGAGGCCACTTGGGTTGTTGAGGGAAGAATTCCCTGGCTCTTTACCTTCCATCACTCTCTCCAGACCACAAAGATTGAGACGCGCACCCTGAGTATCAGGGGGTCTTGCTAATTCCTGTGGAGGTCAAGGTAGCTTCTGCTCCTTGCTTGTCCAGGCTGAGAAGAAAGCCAAGGTGATCGCAGTAATGAATGCTGTAGAAGAGAACCAGGGATCCGGTGAGTCGCAGAAGGTGGAGGAGGCCAGCCCTCCTGCCGTGCAGCAGCCCACAGACCCTGCCTCCCCCACTGTGGCCACCACACCTGAGCCCGTGGGGGCCGACACCGGGGACAAGAACGCCACCAAAGCAGCTGATGACGAACCAGAGTACGAGGTGAGCATTTTGCTTCTTCGCCCACCTCATCCAGCCCCCTCCTGGGTCCTTCCACTGCCAGCTCCTGCCATCCTCTGCTCTTCCCCGGTCCACCTGACCCCCAGCCTCTTGGTCGCCCCGATTTTGCTCCATCTTAGTGCATTCAAATGGAGCTGTCCCGACCATCACATGCCCAGGGCCGGGTGGCGTGGGTGGTCGGGTGGCAGGGCCTCTCGACCACTGCCTAATGACTTCTGCTTGGGGCTCCAGGACGGCCGGGGATTTGGCATTGGGGAGCTGGTGTGGGGGAAACTGCGGGGCTTCTCCTGGTGGCCAGGCCGCATTGTGTCTTGGTGGATGACGGGCCGGAGCCGAGCAGCTGAAGGCACCCGCTGGGTCATGTGGTTCGGAGATGGCAAGTTCTCAGTGGTGAGTTCCAGGGCGTGGCGGTAGCCTGGGGCCGGGGGGGGGGGGGGGGGGGGAGGGGGGGGAGGGGGGGGGGGGGAGACAGGGCCTGTGGTCTTGGCTGGGGGGCACGGTGGGGAGTTGGGGTGGTAGAAGAGGGCCCAGCTCACCCCCACTCAGGATATGTATGAAAGGATGAAAGCCTAGAGGCTCAGACGTGCCTCAGAGGCCCAGAGCAGAATGGCTGCCCCATTTGCCTCCAGGAACCCTTTCCTGCTTACATTCAGGTGCTCCCCACTTACATTCAGGTGCTCCCCCACACGGGTTGGGCTCCTCCTTTGCAGCACACCAGTGGTTACCAGTGCCTCTAGTCCGTAAGGGCAGATAGATAGGTCAAGTCTAATTGCCCCCCAGCCAGTTTCCAGGCGGGTGGTCGGTGCTGGGAGAGTGGAAGTGGGAGCAGACGCGGCCATGGTTGTCTCTCCAGGTGTGTGTGGAGAAGCTGATGCCGCTGAGCTCCTTCTGCAGCGCTTTCCACCAGGCCACCTACAACAAGCAGCCCATGTACCGCAAAGCCATCTACGAAGTCCTGCAGGTGAGCTGCGTGGAAGCCCTTAGGAGCGGGAGCAAGAGCGGGAGCTGAGAGATGGGGACCTGCCTCTGCTTGGCTCCAACTGGAGTGCAGAGGGTAGGCCTAAGCCGCAGGGGTCCCCCCCCCGGGGAGACGGGACTCCCTTTCCCTGCCTTGCTCTCCCACTTTCCACACACTCAGACCTCCTCCCGCCTGCCTCCCCTTCTCAGCACCTTCTCCCACTTGGCTGTGCCCCCTTCCTGGCACCATAGTCTTTCTGTCCTTCACGCCTCTCGGGTCTGCCCTCCAGTGTGTCCCAACACTGCCCCCCACGCGTGTTGCCTTCCAGGTGGCCAGCAGCCGAGCAGGGAAGCTGTTCCCGGCGTGCCACGACAGCGATGAGAGCGACACTGCCAAGGCGGTGGAGGTGCAAAACAAGCAGATGATTGAATGGGCCCTGGGGGGGTTCCAGCCCTCTGGTCCCAAGGGCCTGGAGCCCCCAGAAGGTAAGCGCAACTGCTCAGCCCAGCCTCTGGGACCCCCCTGCTGGACAGGCAAATCCTTGCCCAAGCTGGGAAAGCCATGCTTAGGGGCAGCCCCTCGTGAGTGCTCATGGGTCCCTTCTCACTGGGTCAGAACAACTTGCTTCCCTTTGACTGCAGAGTAGGAAGCTGGGGACATGTTGGGGGCCAGACTGTACCCACCCATGTGGGTAGAACAGAGTTGGGGAGGGAGCTGGGATTCCTTTCAGCAGGTAACTGTGACCATGTTCCTACCTGCTTTCCTGACCCAGAGGAGAAGAACCCCTACAAAGAAGTTTACACAGACATGTGGGTCGAACCCGAGGCAGCTGCCTATGCACCACCCCCACCAGCCAAAAAACCCCGAAAGAGCACAACGGAGAAGCCCAAGGTCAAGGAGATTATTGATGAACGCACAAGAGGTAGTGGGCCTGGCTCTGGAGAGAGTGGCGGCGAGGCCAGTATTCAGAGGCGCGGGGTGGCCCTCGCGGCCTCCTCTGATGCTGGGCCTTCTCCCCTCTGCAGAGCGGCTGGTGTACGAGGTGCGGCAGAAGTGCCGGAACATCGAGGGTGAGTCCTGGAGGACGGCAGGGCCTTGCTCCCCGGGAAGTCTGGTCTGTGGCCCCTGGGGCAGGCGTGCAGGCCTGGCTCCTATGCAGAGGAGCTGGGTCCTCAGGGGTGACCGGCATGGCCACTGGCTCTGTCCTGCATGTCCTGCTGCCTGTCTTCACACACGCATCTGTCTTTCTGGTGCCGTGATCTTACTGGCATATTTATGGCATGGGCTGGTCACTGGGGTTTGGCTTAGGACACCCACATTCCAGAGGGTCAGAGAAGGGTGCTTCTTTTAAGTTTAAGTGAACTTGTCTGAAAATGACTGTGGTGTTCACCTTCCTCACCCCTCAACAGCAGTCATTAGAGCCTCCCTGACCATCTCCTTTGGCCTGGTGGTAGTGCAGGTGGCTCAGGGCTCCCAGGGCGGGGACGGATGGGGACAGGATGTACGGCTGGCCCAGGGACTCTACTGGTCACACTGCTTCTGGGTGGCTGCCTTGCCGCTCGGAGACAAGGTGGCTTCTGAGATCTCGGCCGGGGTGCCTTCTGTGTCCTTGGGTCACCTCGCAGACTTGCTTGCCTTTTTAGCGACTGTTCCATCATGTCCATTTTTGTGCATTTTTTCTGGAGCTGGGCTTTGGCCTGAATTGGGAATAGGATCTTCAGTCTCACTCCATTTCTCTGCTTTCCAGACATTTGCATCTCTTGTGGGAGCCTCAACGTCACCCTGGAACACCCGCTCTTCATTGGAGGAATGTGCCAAAACTGCAAGGTGGGGGTTTACTCAGCAAACGGGCTCGTAGGGGCAGTGCTGGGGGTGGCTGTGATGTTGGCTCTGGACTTAGAATTCTGATGACACAGACCATCGGGTTTCCAGTGCTTGGCATGATATATTTCTTTCTTTCTTTCCTTTTTTTTTTTTTTTTTTTTTTGGTGGGACCCTCGCCGGCAGCCGGGGAACGAACTGGCGCTGCAGAGGCTGCGGGCAGCCTCGCAGCCCAGCGCTGAACCGCTGCGCCACCAGGGGAGGCCCCTGGCATGATATATTTCCACCCCTGAAAGACCCTCTCTCCCTCTAAGGCCCCACCCCCTGTGGTCCCCAGGTGGGCTCTCCTCGTCACAGTCACTGGTGTGAAGACCAAGCTGATGACTGGGCTGTGGAGCCCTTGGGCTCCAGGAGCCTGGCCCGGGGCTGTAGCCAGGGACAGCACTTCGGCTCCCGCCTTGCTGTCCACTGCAGTTGTCCTAGGGGAGCTGGTGTCCCCTTCCCAGTTCTGTGGTTCGGGCTGGACCCTGCCTGGGTGGCTGGTAGGGTCATGGCTCCAGGGCTGAGTCCCGGTTCTCAGATGGGAGGCTGAAGTTGGGTCAAAGCTGGCGTCCCCTGACTACCCTGAGCCTGCCTGGGGGTCTCTGACTTCCCGCTGCCCTCTAGAACTGCTTCCTGGAGTGCGCGTACCAGTACGACGATGATGGCTACCAGTCTTACTGCACCATCTGCTGTGGGGGGCGTGAGGTGCTCATGTGCGGGAACAATAACTGCTGCAGGTGAGCCCGCCCCAGCCGGCCGCTGCCTGGGTCTCGCTGCCCACCTGCCTGCACAGCCGTGCCCCCCCCCCCCCAGCCCCGGCCCGGAGCCCCTCTGCTATACTGGGCTTCCTTCCAGGTGCTTTTGTGTGGAGTGTGTGGATCTCTTGGTGGGGCCGGGGGCTGCCCAGGCCGCCATTAAGGAAGACCCCTGGAACTGCTACATGTGCGGGCACAAGGGCACTTATGGGCTGCTGCGGCGGCGGGACGACTGGCCCTCCCGGCTGCAGATGTTCTTCGCCAACAACCATGACCAGGAATTTGTGAGTGCTGGGCCCGGGGTTCTCCTGAGCGCTCGCTCCTGACCCACGAGGCGGGGCCGCCCCATCGCTGAGCAGAGGTGCCTGAGGTGCTGGCTGGGTGTGAGGGTCTGGAGAGTCAGTGGCCGGGAGGGCCAGCCCCTCGTGTGCGCCTGCCGGGTGCTCATTGGCTTGTCCTGCTTCCTGCATAGGACCCTCCGAAGGTGTACCCGCCCGTGCCAGCAGAGAAGAGGAAGCCCATCCGGGTGCTGTCTCTCTTTGATGGAATTGCCACAGGTAAGGGCAGGCACGGGTCTCAAGAAGCCCTGGCATCCTGTCCTGAGATATGGAAGCTCTGCTGGGGGCCGGTGTGTGTGTGTGTGTGTGTGTGTGTAAAATTCTGGCAAAACAATGATTAACATTTACAACTGTTAAAATACTATCCTGGAGAGGAGACGTGTGTGTTCAGTGAAGTGGTAAACCAGCGTGTCTGGCGCTTCCTTTGCTTAATGGAGGAGACTCTCCAGCGGAGGTCAGAGTGCTCACTGGCGAGAGGTTATTGAAGATTTTCACAAAGCCTCAAAGGACAGACTCGGTGGCCACAACAAAAAGGGGCAGTTCTGTTTGGATTGTCAGTCACAGTAAAAAAAAAAACAAAACAAAAAAAAAACCTCTAAACCAGATAGTCTCGGACTATGGAAATCACCCTGGATCCTTTCATTGGTGTTTGGGGTGTATGTTTCTAGATTTTCTTCTGTGCACGTGTGTGTGTTGATACAATCACAGATTAGATAAATAAAATGAAGGGCTAGTGAGCCCGTGCTGTGTTGTGACTTGTTTTCTCCATGTGTTGTGACAACTTTTCATGCGACATAGTGAAAGTACCCCGGTTTATTTAAGCCCTGATTTGTTGACTGTTTTTTCCAGTCTTCAGAGCAGTACTATACTGAGCATTCTTTATCTGCGTCTTTATACCTTAAGTTATTATCATTGAGGAGATGCTGACAGCATGTGAACACAGGTGCTGGTTTTCTCATGTGGTTCTTGACCCTGCCAGAAATCTCTCCTGAAATTCCCCCGTCTGCCCTGCTCCCTGTCTGAGCACTTCTCTGTCCTGAAAGGCGAGGTCAGGCAGGCTGAGTTTGGGGACCTAGGCCAGCCAGTGGGGTGGAATCCCAGGCTGTGGGTTTGTTGTCTGTTCTCATGTTCTAGAAACTCAGAGGGGGCAATTCACTGCTTGGTTTCGCAGACTGGAAGCTTGAGGCCACCTTAAACTCCGTCGCACCCCAGGAGGCCTTTGGGTCCTGATGGGGGTTCTGTTGGGAGCCTGAAATGGTGCCGCCACAGCCTCTTCTGAAACTCTCAGTCTTCTTTCCTTGTCTCAGATCAGCAAATGTTCATGAAGGGTCATGGTAGGAAGGGACTTGTGGTTAGCTGAGGAGGAAGCACGGCAAAGGAGCCCTACTCTGTGCTGGATACCACTTGCAACCCACTAGAAGGGCTGAATTAGCCTGAGTGGAGGGATTCGAGGTGTTGGGGCTCACAGAGCAGGAGGGGTGATTGGGCAGTGGGTAGATGAATCCTTCTGGAGCAGGTGGCGCTTGTGTTGGGTACTGAAGGCTGGAAGAATTGCAGCAGGAGGTGAAATGGAGTGGGGTGAGAAAGAACCAGTGTATGCAAGATGAAAAACGGCCCAGAAAAGGTTACCTGCTATTTCCCGTGGCTCCTGAAACCACCTGCTGTCTGATTTGTCCTTCCCAGCCTGACTGCCTTCTAAGCAGATCAGGCCTGGCGTGGATCGCCTTGACGTCTGTGTTGTTAACACTCCAGTTGCATCCAGAAGCATCCTGTACTTTATTGGGCAGGCGGGTAGGACTTGGGGACGTCACTGACCCACATCTTCAGCTGGTCAGAGGCTCCCCCGTGAAGACCAGGGTGCTTGGGAGGTGACCCCTGACCGTGCTTCTTGCTGGCTGGGCAGGGCTCCTGGTGCTGAAGGACTTGGGCATTCAGGTGGATCGCTACATCGCCTCGGAGGTGTGCGAGGACTCCATCACGGTGGGCATGGTGCGGCACCAGGGGAAGATCATGTACGTCGGGGACGTCCGCAGCGTCACGCAGAAGCATGTATGTCAGTGCTGGGGGGCTGTAAAGTCCTCTCTTCCCTTGCACACCAGCCCACTTCCTTCTGTTCATTTGCTCCCTACCCCCCAACCTCTTTCTCATCTTCCCTTTTCCCCACTGTCTTGAAAGGGTAACTGGCAGACTCCAAATGGGAATTGGGGAGTTACTTATTTGGGATCAGGTTGCCTCCTGGTTACTTGAGGGCCCTTTCTGGTGGGTGCTTTGGCCTGGAGCCAGGCTCCTATCCTCTCAGTACTTCTGGAGACAGCTTTGCCAGCCTCCATTTCTGGGGGGCTCTTCCACTTACCTGCACGTATCTCTGAATGGCCTTCAGAGCATTGAGGGGTGTTCAGATGTCCTGGATACCCTGCCCAAAATGCAGGGAGCTTACAGCCCCTCAGCCAGCTGTTCAGCCTGGGTCTCCTTCCTAACAAGCGCAGCTCTGCTAAGGGAGCGCACTGCCTTTCCCACTGGGCTCAGCGCCCCACCCCCCCACTCTGTCCCTTCACATTATTGTTTAGAAAACTGAGCCTGGACCCAATGACTTGCCTGAAGCTGCAGATGTGTGTGCACGCGTGTGTGTGAGATGCATGCGTGTGTGTGTGTGTGTGTGTGTGTGTGTGTAATGAGCATACAATACAGCCGGGGCTCCTCTCTCCCATGCCATTGCCAAATTCACAGATAATTTCTCTTTTCCTTTCTGCCTCTGTCCCCGGACATCAAGCCCATCACATTACCTTTATCCTCCCAGATCCAGGAGTGGGGCCCATTCGATCTGGTGATTGGGGGCAGTCCCTGCAACGATCTCTCCATCGTCAACCCTGCCCGCAAGGGACTCTATGGTAGGTGTCTGCTCGCCCCTCCGCCTTCTGAGCTGGGGCTTCCGCATGTAGATTTCCTACTTAGATATTTCTGCCCTGGGTCGGCCACTCCCCACGCCCCATCCTCCCTCCCCTCCCCGTGCCCGAGCCACACCACTGTCTGCTGCAGATAGCCCAGCTGATGGCTTTCTCTTCCAACCTCTCAGAGGGCACTGGCCGGCTCTTCTTTGAGTTCTACCGCCTCCTGCATGATGCGCGGCCCAAGGAGGGAGATGATCGCCCCTTCTTCTGGCTCTTTGAGAATGTGGTGGCCATGGGCGTTAGTGACAAGAGGGACATCTCGCGATTTCTTGAGGTATAGCCAGCAACCTTGGTTTGGCCAGCTCACTAATGGCGTCTACCTTGGACTGCTGCTTTATTCCTGTCTCATCTGCATTGTGGAGCTGGGGACTGGTGACTTCTGCTTTCTTTGCAAGGTCCCACTTGGGAAGCTCAGAGCTTTCCTGTTAGAGAGGGTGGAAGCCTTGTTAGAGGCCCACCCTGGAAAGAACCCATGGTCTTGTTCTAAGAGATGGTATGTGGGACTCGGGCCTCGAAGGAGCTGACAGTTACTCATTAGGGATGTCAGGCAGCTGGGATAGGAGTTCTGTGTGGCGGATCACTGAGGGCCTGAGTTGAGTTCCTGTCCAGATGGGTCATCCTTACTCCCTCGCACCTAGACATGTTTAAGATGGCACTTGGGAAGAAAATAATGACTTCCCTCAGTTTTGATTCCTCATAATGTGGGTCCCTGCTCATTTCTGAACAAGATTCGAGCCTTGCACAAAGGATCTCTGCAACCAGAGGCATTCTCAGGGTGCACAGTTCCCTGTCTAGAGGTAATCAATACCTCAAGCTGGTGTCCTAGCTTTAAATGTGAGCAGGTGTCTTATTTGACTGTCATCTGGGTGCACTGTGAATGTATCCATACCTAATGGCACTTTCTTCCTTCAAGCTTTTGGGCGAGGTCGAGCTCTGTGGTCCAATATGGCATCACCAGCCACACCTTAGATTATCGTTACAGTCACTCAGTCTCACTAGCCTCATTGCACGTATCCTTAGCCACCTGCAGCTCAGTGCGCTAGCGACCCTGGGGAGGACATCAGAACATCCCCGTCAGTGCGCAACAGTTTGGGTGGACCATGTTGGTCCCCAAGATTCCAGGGAGAGCATGCACAGTTCTGGCTGTTCCTGGAGACTTCAGATTGTACTAGCAGGTGGCCCCAAGGGAGAAGTAAGAGCCTTTGAGGCTTTAAGGCTCTAGACCAGCAAAAGTTCCTGGCACTGTTACTATTCCTCTTTTGCTCATCTTGATCTCTGTTTTGTAGTCCAACCCTGTGATGATTGATGCCAAAGAAGTGTCAGCTGCACACAGGGCCCGCTACTTCTGGGGGAACCTTCCTGGTATGAACAGGTTGGTGAGCATGCCTGGTCCTGGGGGCTACGGGTGGTGTCTGCAGGTGGCTTAGTGGCAATGACCCGAGGCAGGAGAATCGCTGGGTGGGCCCTCAGGGTCACCTCCCCTGCTGAAAACCTGCTGCTTGGCCTGGCACCTCTTTGTCCTCCTTGCAGAGGAAGAGAGTTGGGGTGCAGAAAATACTTGCCTGAGAAATGAGTGGCTGGTGTTGGAATTTGCAGTTTACTCTTTATATCAAAGAGGAACCGTACCCTGCTGAATGACGTAGTTGGTTCTCCTACATGGGGGGCTGCGACCCGAGTGCGCATCGGCTGAGGAAGAGCAGGAGAGGATGGGGGTGGGGGTGATGAGGAGTGGTGCCCACAGAGGCTGTGTGCGCCTCCCGGAGAGGGTCTCCCAGCAGCACCACAGATTAGTGGGTCCTGCCTGAGTTGGCTTCAGGCCCCTTACTGGAAGGATGCTCTTTGTTTAGGTTACACAGATTTTAATATTCAGGATGAAGAAACATTTCTTTAGTATAATGATTGTATTATTAGACTCCTATGAGGAGAAAGGAATTCTGGTTGAGTTGGCAGTTCAGAAGCAGAGTGAAGTTAATTTAGGACTGAGTATAGTCTAAATTAGTGAGTTTTAACTCTTTCATTTTTAAGGAAATTGACTTGAGAGTGTTTGTCACCATATTTTTAGAGGTGTAAGACTGTTTTTAGAGTAGCTAAAAAATTATTGAGTCATATTTTAAGTCTGTATGTTTTTGCGATTCCCAGAATTTCAAATTCTTGTTCACAAGTATTATGAATGAGTTCTTAGAAAAAAAATCAAATGGGTGTTTATTAAAAAAGAGTGAGATCTACCCAATTTAGATATTTATTATGGAGGGAAATTTTTTGCAGAATGTTTTGAGTATGGATTTTAAACGTCATTGGTGTAACTTCAATTGGAACGTCTCGTTATCCTGGCCTCAGTCATCTCCTGTGTTCTGTCATTAACTGGGGGTGCAGAAACTTCCTGTCTCAGAAGCTGGGGGTCTCAGAAACTTCACCCACTTGGTGAAACTGTTGACTTTTGCCAGGGATTATTGATGGGAAGGTCATTGGTGCATCTGATCTGAAACTCTGTCCCCCTAAATTCCCAAGATGTGTGTGTGTGTGTGTGTGTGTGTGTGTTGGAACAAGCACTACAGTCCAGTGTTTGCAGGGAGGATATGGACTCTATCTCCTAATGGACCTGGGTCCTGTGAGATTGTTCTCACCAGCTTCTTCCAGCTATAAAATGATAGAACTCTGGGCTTCCAGCAGCAGAGGTAGCAAGTGGGACTAAGAGTCAGAAGGAGAGAGAAGACGAACTGGCCCCCTCCATGGCCCCCGCACTGAGGTGGTGGCTGCTAACCTGAGACCAGCATTTAAGTCCTTCTAAATGTCAGGGAGGGACCTTGCCAGAAGGGACTCATGCTAAGTCATCTGGTCTACCTTCTGAGTAGCGACATATCACAGAATTGTAGTCTCCTGGGGGCTGGGCAAGATTTAAATCTTTTTAACTGTACATTCATGGTGTAGAGTTTAGTGAATCTCACCCACTGTTCATACCCATGTAACTGTCACCATAGTTGAGAAATAGAACATACTGCCACTGCTAAGCTTGCTTTGTGATGGATACTTCTAAAATTCAGTGATGTAAAATAGTTGGGGTATCCCCCTGCTGGGCGAGTGTTACCTGCCTCTTGGTACTTTGAGGGCACTTTCAGATTTAGCTTTCAGAAGGAAGGCTCGGGGGATTTGTGTCCACAGGATGGCTTCATGTGTCGTTCATGTGTTTTAGGGGAGTTTAAAGGGAGTCCCAAAGTGTGGGTGACAGGGAGTCGTGCTCACCCTTGGTGAGGTCAGTGGTTGCAGTGTCAGTGGCCCTGGGGGCATTCCTGCTGTTCTCCTGGTTGGTACCTTCTCCCTTCTGCCTCCTAGGCCATTGGCATCCACTGTGAACGACAAGCTGGAGCTGCAGGAGTGTCTGGAGCATGGCAGAATAGCCAAGGTTAGCCCAGCACCCAAGCCCGCTGCTGGGGGGGCAGGGAGGAGGGCAGAGGGCGGATGGACTTTATCAGGGACCGAGGTGGTGTCCTGCCTGCCCTCTAGGGTCTGGTGGGCACAGCTGGTATGGAGAGTGTCATTTAAACTTTGGTTTGGGGTCATGCACCGGGGTTGGGGGGGGTGTTCCGGGGGGTCAGCCCTTGCTCATGCAGCACAGCCCACAGCACCGTCCTGTGAGGTTGACATTGAGAAGTTTCTGCCAAGGTTCCTGTAGCAGCAGGGACTTTTAAATTTTATGGCAAGAACCTTGGGAGCAGAGGTTCTCTTGTGATGTGAAGAGTCCCTTTTTCTGGGGCAGTCTATGGGAAGCAGTGTGCTGGGCAGCAGGTTTTGCCAGAGCAGAGGCAGCACTTGGACTGTTGGCATCAGAGGTGTCTTTGGGCCCTCGGTAATTTGGCATCCTTTTGCCTGCATATCACTGTAGCCGTGAAGGAGCCAGTTCCTTAGAAGCACTGAGGATAGTGGCTCGAGCTAACAACTCACTCCCAAGTCCTGGGCCAGCAGGGAGGAGACTAAGGATGGCGGGGTGACCTCAGAGTGGGCAGGAAAGCAGAACAGTGGGGTCTGCAGCGCTCCTGAGCTAAACCTGAAACCAGCCCCCAGTGGCCAGCCTTGTGTGAGCTGGCTTACCAGCTCTGACCAGAGCCTGGCACAGACGCTGCCCCCTCGGCCAGAAGCGAGTGCTCACCCCTCTTCTCTCTTCATCTTCTAGTTCAGCAAAGTGAGGACCATCACTACTAGATCGAACTCCATAAAGCAGGGCAAAGACCAGCATTTCCCCGTCTTCATGAACGAGAAAGAGGACATCTTATGGTGCACTGAAATGGAAAGGTACCGAGGCTGAGGGGTGTCGTGGAGCTAGGTCCCGATTGCTCTGCCTCTGCCCGTCAGGCTTGTATCTTCCAAATACTGTGTGAGCAGGGGCTTTCCACACGTTTCCCAGCATGGCAAGTTCCTGCAGGAGGCACAGAGTGAGAGGTGTCTTAAAACCAGCCCCTGATACCCAGGCTCACAAGTCCTGCTGAATTTGAGGGGACATGGCAGCTACAGGCGCTCCCAGATTGCTGTTCCTCTCCTGGGGCCGTGGACTGAGCCAGTGGAGCCCCAGTGGGCTTGAGCCTCAGCACCCGACATGGTGTGTGTTTGGCCAGTGGGTGTTGGGAGCCTCTGATCCTCTGGGTGGGACTGGGGTTTAGCTGAAGGCCACTTATACCAACAATTGGGCTCCTTTGAGAAGCTTGCTCTTCTCCAGGGGAAGAATCTCGGGGTGCATATTCATTACATACAGACTCCAGGCGTCCCCTGAGGCGCTAGGTCTCAGGTGAAGCCTGTCTGGAGGTGTTTTCACACAACTGACCCTTCAGCAACTGCTTGGATCCACTCACATGTGGATTTTCTTACAAACAAACAAACATAGAGGATCGGTAAACGCAGCAGTGTGCTACTGTAAACGTATGTTCTCGTGATCTTCTCAGAAAGTGTCTGTTCTCCAGCTGGCTTTAGTGAGATTGTGGTTCACAGTCCACACAGCATACGCAACACGTGTGCGTCGGCAGTTGTGGTGTCAGTAAGGCTTCTTGTCCGCAGCAGACTGTTAAGGTTTTGGGAAGTCGAATTACACTCAAATTTTTGACGCCGGGTTTGGCGCCCCGCACCCCCAGGGTGTTCGAGGGTCACCCGTACTAACTTTCTGTGGTAAATCTCTAGGCTCAGTGGCTGGGTGCCCGGCCCGCGGCTGGTGACCTGAGTAATGACGGAGTTAGCGCTGAAGGACAGAGACTGAGCAGGACGGCCTGTGCCGGTGCTCACCGCTGCCCTTACCACCTTGTCTCCCCAGGGTGTTTGGCTTCCCTGTCCACTATACCGACGTCTCCAACATGAGCCGCTTGGCGAGGCAGAGACTGCTGGGCCGGTCCTGGAGCGTGCCGGTCATCCGCCACCTCTTCGCTCCGCTGAAGGAATATTTTGCTTGTGTGTAAGGGACGTGAGGGCAAACTGAGGTAGTGACACAAATTTAAACAAACAAACAAAAAACACAAAACACAACAAAAACATCAAGAACATGAGGATGGAGAGAAGTATCAGCACCCAGAAGAGAAAAAGGAATTTAAAACAAAAACCACAGAGGCGGAAATAACGGAGGGCTTTTGCCTTGCAAAAGGGTTGGATATCATCTCCTGGTTTTTTCAATGTTAATCTTCAGTCCTATTTAAAAAGAAAACCAAGCCCCCCACCCCTTAATTTTTTTTTTTTTTTTTTTTTTTTTTGTTTTTTTTTTTGTTTTTTTTTTGGTGAAACCTTTGTTTTCTACTCTTTTCAGAGGGGTTTTCTGTTTGTTTGGGTTTTTGTTTCTTGCTGTGACTGAAACAAGAGGGTTTATTGCAGCAAAAATCAGTAACAAAAATTAGTAACAATACCTTGCAGAGGAAGGATGGACGTGAAGGATAAAAAAAAAAAGAAAATTCTATAGAAATCTATATATTGGATTTTTTTTTAAACTATATATCTTTTGTTGTCTCTGGCCTGATCAGATAGGAGCACAAGCAGGGGACAGAACATTGCAAGATGCTCAGGCGGCAGGATCCCTGCCAGCCCCAGCCTCTTGCCAGCACCATTCCTGGTTTGCAGAGCAGAACCCATCTAGAGCAGGGAGACGAGAATACCACCAAGACCCTTTTATACAGTATTTCAGGTGCCTACCACACAGGAAACCTTGAAGAAAATCAGTTTCTAGAAGCCGCTGTTACCTCTTGTTTACAGTTTATATATATATGATAGATATGAGATATATATATAAAAGGTACTGTTAACTACTGTACAACCTGACTTCAAAATGGTGCTTTAAAACAGCGAGATGAGTAAAAACATCAGCTTCCATGTTGCCTTATGTGCAAAGGGTGTTAACCGAGGATGGAGAAAGGGAGACAGCGTGAAGACAAGTCGGTATCCTAGGGGGCTCTTTTTCCCCTTGCTTTTTAAACAAGGTGAAGGAGAAGCACTTGGGGACAGCGCTCTCCCGTTTCTCCCTGCCAAAAAAAAAAGGGGGGTACAATGAGGTGGTGGGGACCGTGGAAAGCTGAGAGTGGCATTTCATCCAGGTTCACGCAATAACCTTTTGATTTTTTTTTTCTAAAAGGAGACCCCTCTCGGCGAGATGGCAGGATAAGGGGTCTTCAGTCCCGATTTCTCACATTAGCCGATTGGTGGGCTCCTTGTGTGGGATCAGAAATAATCCAGCGTGCGGGGAAGTGACAGTTCAAACCCCACCTGGAGCAAATAAAAAAACATACAAAACGTACTGGTGCTTTCCTGTCTAAGTCGCCTTTTGTGTGTTCTTTTATGAGGCCCCACCACCCACCCTCTGCGCACAAGGCGGCTGCGGCCCCTGGAATGCGATGTTTTTGGTCATCTCCAAAGGCTGCAGTTTTATACTGGGAGGCTGACGACACCTTTTGTTATCATTATTCTTATGGTTCTGGTTATAATTATGTTTTCAGATTTTCTTTAAGAAAACAAAAACCCAACACCCCTCCCTTTAGGTTTCAAACCGAGGTGCGGGGAGCAGGGTGCTTCTGGTTGGTGGCCCTGGTGCCCTGGCTCCCCCCTCGGGCCAGGTGGGCCGCCGGGCGCCGCGGCAGCTGGGCGGCCCTCCGGCGTCCTTCTCTTCTACTTCCCCTCCTCTCGAGTCGCGTGTGTCAGGGCTGGAGGGAGGGCCGGGCGCCTCTCTCCGCGCGTGTGTGATTGGAGTGGTGTGTGTTGCTTTTCTAGTACTTGGTCTGATGATAGCTGCGCTCTGACTTGAGTCAGCGGCACCTGGAGCCCGGCACGGCTCTCGTTCCTCTTCCTACCGAGGGGGCGGCCTGGTGGTGGCGGTAGGCAGGGACGGCAGAGGTGGCTCCAGGGTGAAGGCCCAATGGGCAGATGCTTAACTGAATAGATGGGGTGTAGATATGTGGCATATAGAGATATATATTTTATAATGGGAGGGGGGAATGGCACCTCCTGGGACTGGCAGAGCTGGGAGGTGTGCTGTTAAGCACACGGTCTCAAGTTCGCATCCCTAGAAAGATAGGGCCTATGGTGATAGGCGCTCTATAAATACATAGATAGGGTCATGTATAAGAAATATTATGTGGTGGGGGAGCGGGGCGCGGGGGCTCAGAATGCTGAGCCTCGGACCCCACTGCAGACATAAGCCCCACACTAATCAATCCCACACTCACACACAGGAACCTATTTCTATATGGATGCATAATGAATGCACACACACACACACACACACACACACACAGAGCCAGGGAGCTCCCAGCGCTGTTCTCCCCAGGATTCAGGACTTTGTGGAGTCGGCCCTGCAGCTATTTACCTCTGTTGCCCTGATTGCAGGTAGACTGTCAATCCCAGAAGTTGCTAGGTGCTGAAGGCAGGGAAAGGAGGAGGTTTTATTTTCGCAGGTGCTCTCCTCTAGCAGGTAGCATTCTATCTCTTTTGCCCCTGGTGATGTCAAGACTCTTCTGTTAGCAACCTGTGATACTGACCTGCAACTCGAGGCACCAGTCAAGTCAGCCCTCAACTCCCCCTACCTATTCTCCCCAACCAAAATAAAATTGGCATCCAAGTCTGTCTTGGCCAGGGGCTTTCATTGGGGGAAAAAAAAAATGGGACGGTGAACCTCAATCTTTGGAATGAAACAAATTAACAATTGGACACTGCTAAACCAAGGCTCTGATTCCCTGCTCATAGCTCTGGAGAAAGCTCACAGCGGGTGGCCTCCGTCACCCACTCCTGTTTTTGGGTGCTTAGTCCCAGACCCCGGTCTACTCCCTTGTCAGATTGGTTAAGGTCATGCCCAGTTGCTTCCCGCCGGCACCGTGACAAGGTGGCAGGTGTTGGTCGGGACGTCCACGGGGCTGGGGCAGCTGGGAGTGGAAAACCGCTGCCCCTCCCTCGTGGGAGTCCCGTTCCTAACCGTGGTGCTCGCCCCGTCCCATCCTCGCTCCTGCCAGGCTCCATCTTCCTGGCCTGGAGTCCACCAGCACCACTTCAGGAGGGCTGGGGGGAGGAGGGCTGCCTCAGGCAGTCCAAGGTGCTCCCTCCCCACCGGCCAGCGCCAAGGTCTTCCCAGCCTCGGTGTCGGGACAGTCTCTTCTGGGCCACCCTCTGCAAAAAGACACCAGCTCTTCTGGTTCCCCTGTGCCTCTGTCCACTACTCATGTGAAGGAGTTTGCCTTTCCCGGGGGCAGGCTCCACCCAGGGAGTTGGCATGGGGGAGGAACTTGGTGGCCTAGGAAGTGGCAAGCCCGAGGAATTAGCATGGGCTTCCAGATGCTCAGAGGAAGCCGCCTTGCTATGGCTGACATGAGCGTAAGTCCCCTGGTCAGACCACCAGACTAGGCCCCAGGCGGCCAGGCGCCCCCCTCCTGGGGTGAGAGTTCATCACTGGTTTTTCCTCCAGTCTAACCCGTGGGCTTGGTCACACAGTAGAACTTGGTAGAGTGCGGGGCACCTTGAGAATGTGCCAATGTGGCCACACCGGGATGCTCTTAATGCTGTCAGGTCCCCCCACCCGCTGCGTGGTTTCTGGGGAGAGGTCAGGTCACCTAAAGGGGCACTGTGCTCCAACAGGCTGAGGCAGCGTCCTGGGCGGGTAACGCAGGGATTGCTGCACTTGATATAGGACTGGGGGAGAGGCAGTGGAGTGGGAGAAGCCAAGGAGGGCCCAGGGAAAATTCTGGGTTATGTTTCCCGTGGGATTTTCTAAAGAGCAGGCCTGTTTACCCTGGAGCTAGGGGTCAGGATGATGCCTCGCTGACTGCAGGTGTCAAGCGAACATGTTGCCAAAGTGAGGGTGGCTGTGGTCCGAGGGGGGCGGAGGGAAGCTGGTGCAAGGTCATGGAGCCCTGGTCTCCTGTGAGGAGGAAGCTGGTCTCCAGCAGGCGGCTGAGGGCCTCGAGCTGGCCGGTGCTGACCCTTCCCCCTTGGGAGCGACTACAGAACAGTCAGCTGGAGAGCAGCAGGTGGAGATGGAGGGGTATCGCTGTTTTTCTCTCAATCCTAGAACCTTCTTGCTATTGCATGTGATTCTAGAAAGCGACTTGCCCACAGAGTGTCTCGGACGTCTTCGCTTGTGACGGGCCTGGAGTGGTTGACTGATGTGAGTTTTGCTGCCTGGAACAGGCAGTCCTGATAGGAAGGCTCGAGAAAGAATGGGCTCCCCTTGCTTCCTGGCTATCTGGGGAAGCCTCGCCGGGAATACCCACCATCTCCAGCACAGGGAGGCCTGTTGCAGGAGCCAAGGGAGGAATGATTCAGTGGCGCCATCTGGGAAATGCTCCCCGGGACAGCTGCAGGCAGGAGTCTCTCTCCAGTTATGTCAGAACAGACCGTGGATTTGGGGGCGTTTTTGAATTCCTGCCATTATCCTGCTTGGTGCAGACTTGCTGTGGCACAGTATTTTTAGGAAGCTCGTAGGAGCCCCTTGGGCTGTGGCTTAGGGTCCCGGGCCTGCCTGGCACAGTGGCCTGAAGGGGGCTGGCAGTTTTCTTCTGACGGGACCGCAGAGCCAAGATTCTGGTGAGAACCGTGTTCCTAGCCAGGCACCCATTTTGATCCAGGAGGAGAGGAATCTGGATTTGTTACCGGGCCTTGTCTAGTCTGGTTGCTCCAGCGCTGGTGATCAGTTGCTTCAGCAGGAAGCAGCTGAAGCCTTTCCCGAACCCCAGAATGGAAGAGGTGTTGGGAGGGGGGCTGGCCCAGAGCTAGAACCAGCCCCTCTCTGCCATTGCCTGATGAGGCACTGATTAACTACAGTGTTGGGGAATCTGGGAGGAAACAGAACAGACCAGCTTAGAGAATGGATCCCACTGTTCTGCCAGAAGCTCTCAACTCTATATTTTGGTGAAGGATGGTTGGGGGCCTTTGGGAAGCGAGACCCCTGTAGCTGCATGTGTGAGACCTGGTAGGGCGAGCCTTGGGTTGGTGGCCTCTTGCTTGTGGCAGTAGAATCTGGGGGAGTGGAATCTGGGGGAGCAGGTTCGAAGCAGTGAGGACAAGGTTGGAAAGTCCCTTTCAAGTAGAGACAGCTGACTCACCCCAGCTGAGGCCCGCAGACCCCTGTTGGAACGCCCCCCCCACCCCCACGGCTCCACAGGAGGGGCCCGGGGAGGGAGCCAGGGTGGCTTGCTCCAGCCTTGTCTAGTGCCCAGCCCTGCCCCGAGGCGATGAGCAGGGAATCAGAGCTTCACCTTAGTCCCATTTCACTTCCGGACAATTGGGTGGCCCAGCCCTAGAATTCAACAGACAACAAAAATGCCGAAATTCCTTAGAATACGCAGAGGGAGGAGGTGACTCAACAAGGTGCTAAAAACATTTTATTAAAAATATATATTGTTAAATTAAGTCTGCTGTCTGGACAATGACTGTTTGTTTTGTTTTCTTGTAGTGGAGTTTAAAAGAGACTATTATTTTACTCTGATATATTATTATTAAAAAGGCATTTTAACTTTGTACTTGAAAACTAAATGAGCGATTTCACGTGTTTTAGCTGAGGCATTGAAGTAGCGGGTGCTTACTTATTTGTGGGAAATCATGTATTCATACTGAAGAGTAAACTCCGTAGCTGATTTGGTAATAACTTTTACTGTTACAGACGATTTCGCTTTGACCCCGGCGGCAGAGCACTTTTACTCCACATTCCACGCAGCTAAATGCAGGACTTACCCCGACCCTTCCCTTCCCGGCCCCGGAAACCTTTCTCTTCCGTTCCTCTTTTTTCCTTTCTTTTTTTTTGTTTTTGTTTTTGTTTTTCCTGGTTCCAGCATCCTTTCACCACTGTATTTTTTTTAGGGTTGCTTCTCTATTTATTGACAATAATAATGTACATTTCACAGTCTGGTTCTGGGACATCCAGGGCGGGGCGCGTGTGTGGGGGGGCCCCCAGCGGGTCCCCCTCGCCGTTCCCCTGGGGTCCTGTTGTATCTCTGTGTAAGTGATGCTCGTGACATAGCTGTTTATGAAATAATTAAAGAGGTCAATGCGTGCAGCAGATGTAGAAAGTCTGTCAATTCCGCCTTCATCACATTTTTTTTGTGCCCAGAAGAATATAATAAAGCTCCTTTCTAATGTACTTGTGCTGGAGAACACTTGAATAAATGGACTGTTTTTGTGCAAAAAGAAAAACGGAAAAAGCACCGTAATAATGTCCTTTTGTCTTGCGTCTCCTTTCCCCTGACATGACTGCTCATGGCCTTCTCCAGGGGGTCGAGGACCCAAGTGGGGCTAGCCTGGGTCCAGACAACGCGATTCTGCCTTTGAGAACATCACCTGCAGGAGCTTAAGTAGGGATTGTCACCTGGGTGGGAAAAATGCCTCCCATGGACCTGAAACTCTAAAATAAGTTGTAGTGACACAGGGGTGCTGGACAAGTCAGTTCTGCCCGATTGGGCCGTAAGAGTTCAGACTGGACCCGGGAGGGGACAATGATGTGTGCCAGTGTGTGGCTCACACAACTGCAGGACTTCGGTTATGGGGCTCTTCCCCACTCGGGGTGGGGGGGGGTTCTCCAGCCCAGAGCGTTTCCGGGGGAGCAGCCAGGGTGAGAGACTGGGCAGTGCAGGGTATGCTCTAGAGCGAACTGAGGTGTTTGCCCTAACAAAAGAGAATTGAGAGATGTTTGCAAACACTGACAGGGCCTGGGTGGTTCCAGAAGGCAGGCAGCAGCTTAAAGAATGTCCTTTGTCACCACCGATTAACAGGACGGGGCCGTCCCTGGTCCCTGAAAAAGTGCCAGACAGCCATTTGGCAGCCCCCAGGTCTGGTCTGGTGCCTTGGGCTTTGGGGAGCCGTGTCACATAGTGACCCCTTCATTCTCAGTTTCCCTTCCCTGTCTCCCCCCATCTGTGAGGAATCCCAGCACAGAGCTGCTGGGAAGCTGCCCCCACACCACAGCCCTCAGGCCTGGCCTCCCCAGCTGGGACGTGGTCTCCTCAGTGCCGGGCAGGTCTGCCTACCGCTGCTTCCCCCGAGGAAGGTTTTTCAAGGTTTCTTTCCAATGCTAGGCTTTAGGGGAGCGTCAGGACCACACCACGTTGCTGGCAGCTTCGAGAAAAAGGTCTCTTTCATGGAACCTTTTTTCTTTACCAAATTGTCAACGTACATTCAACTTCTGGCCTGTTTTTTTCTTAGTATTTCTCAGTATTGATGTAGTATGCATTTTTTAAAAAAGTTGCGTGGCACTATCTTGTTGGATGCTGGTGTTTATATATGTGTTTTATTTTTGCTATAAGTAGATTTGCAATAAATACCTTTCTGTGACGATTCCTCCTTCCCCACCTCCATTTTGTATTTTTTTCCTTCAGACAGATTCCCAGAAATGTAGCTTCTGGGGATAAAGCAGAAGAGCAAGCTGGGTTGTCTGACTCCCTCAAGTGGGTCAGCAACAGTCCAGCTTAGCACGGAGGCTGTCAGTTCAGAGAGAAACAAACATTGGCCCTAGTTTGATCGATTTGAAAGTGTGTTAACCCCAGTGGAGAAGTGAAGACTTAAGACTTTTATTATTATTTTTTAAAGATTTATTTATTTTTAAAGATTTATTTATACAAGAACTGGGGTACAGTCAGGGGTGTGGGAGGGTGAGAGAATTCACCAGAAACAGAGCGGGGAGCAGAACAGGCAGACTGATAAAATACACTGCTGAGGGAAGCAGCGGGCGAGACAGGAGAGGTCTGCTGCACCATGTGGGTAGCTCCCTGGCCGGGGATTGAACTCGTGTTTTAGTAGCTGTGGATAGTTTCAAAGGTTGCATCTTAACCCCTTGCACCACCAGGGAGGCCCAGGACTTCTATGCTTTTAAGAATAAAATGAATTAATGTTTTATTTTATGGTGGCGCACAACCTGCTGTGCCATCGGGGAGGCCCAAAAATTTATTTTTATGCAAGAGCTGGGGTGTAGGCCAGAAGCTTGGGAGGGTGAGAGGATTCACCAGAGACAAAGCAGGGAGCAGAACAGGCAGACGACTGAAATACATTGCTGAGGGGAGCAGCGGGCACGACAGGAGAGGTCTGCCACGCCATGTGGGTATCTCCTTGGCTGGCCGGGAATCAAACCTGCACTGCAGAGGCTGCGGACAGCTTCACAGCGCTGTGCTCAACTCACTGTGCCACTGGGGAGGCCCTATTAATATTATTATTTTTTTTTTTGAGAGGCTAGACATCTGTAGCAAGAAGCAAGCAGTGGCAGCACCTCTATTTGGTCACTATAGTTTGAAAATTGAAAATTAGCCCATGGGTGTGCCCATCCAGAAGTAGCCTGGTGTGGATTGTAATTCAGACAGGATCTTTGAGGCTCTAGTTCTCAGGCCAAGGAGAAATAGGAAGTGACATCAGTGCCCGCTGGTTCTGAAAGCCACTGAGCGCCCTGGGTCATACAAGGTGGGAGGTTTGGTCAGAGCTAATGGGAAGGAATTGCTGGGATAATTTCATTCCTTAAAAATCATGCTGTGGGGGACCTCCCCGGTGGCGCAGCGGTTGAGCATTGGGTTGCGAAGCTGCCTGCAGCCTCTGCGGCGCTGGTTCTATCCCCGGCTGCTCCCCGGCCACCGGAGGAGGGTCCCGCATGGCGCGCAGACCTCTCCTGCCGCCAGCTGCTCCCCTCAGCAGTGTACTTCGGTCCTTCTGCCTGCTCTGCTCCCTGCTCTGGCTCTGGTGAATTCTCTCACCCTCCCGCGCTTCTGACTGTACCCAGTGCATGTATAAACAAAACAAACAAATAAATAAATAAAACATGCCTCTATTTAAAAAAAAAAAAAAAATTTAAAAAAAAAAAAAATCATGCTGTGGGACCTCCCTGGTGGCGTATGAGTTAAAGACACAGCGCTAGGGCCTCCCCGGTGGCGCAGCGGTTGAGCGCTGGGTTGCGAAGCTGCCCGCGGCCTCTGCGGCGCCGGTTCGATCCCCGGCTGCTCCTCGGCCACCGGAGGAGGATCCCACATGGTGCGCAGACCTCTCCTGCCGCCCGCTGCTCCCCTCAGCAGTGTACTTCGGTCCTTCTGCCTGTTCTGCTCCCCACTCTGGCTCTGGTGAATTCTCTCATCCTCCCACGCTTCTGACTGTACCCAGTGCATGTATAAACAAAAACAAACAAACAAACAAATAAAATAAATAAATAAATAAAACATGCCTCTATAAAAAAAAAAAAAAAAAAGACACAGCGCTATCAAGCTATCGCCAGCCACTGCCACACGAATTTGAGGCCGAGGTGACTCACATGGCACAGCAGACTCTCCTGTCTCGCCTGCTGCTCCCCTCAGCAGTGTATTTCAGTCAATCTGCCTGTTCTGCTCCCCACTCTGTCTCTGGTGAATCCTCTCACCCCCTTCCACCTCTGGCCTGTACCCCAGTTCTTGTATGCACAAATAAATAAATCTTTAAAAAAAAATTCATTCTGTGAACTTCCTGGATTGAAATAAGGTAGAGGGATCAGGGGACCGAAGGGTCAAGTCTGGTGGAAGACAAGGTGTTGTGACATGACTGCAGGCCTGCAGGTGGCAGGCCTGGGTGCTGAGTGGATCTCCTGGGGGCTGTGGGTGTTAGGGGACTGACTGCAGTGAGGGGAGTGGGGGACACGAGGAAATCATACCCTGGCACAGCCTCCTGGTGTCACCCCCGAAGAGCCCTTTCTTCTTTGCTCCAGTACACTCAGTAGCACCTTTTTCTCCTCTAAGCTTGAATCCTACAAGGGGGTGCAGCTGGGTTTGAGGATAGTGCCTGGAGGGCTAGGGGTGTAGGCAAGGCCTCTGAGGGGCAGACAACTAAAACAATTTTCAAAGTTACATTCAAATCCCAGAGAGCAGTCAGCCAACCCCTCATTTTCAACCTTGAACTGTGTCAGAAGAAAGTCCACTGCATTTGCAACCCATGGATCGGAGTCCTCTGTGACCTTGGGCAGAGAAGTCAGGCCATCTTGAGTCTCCCCTTCTCAGAAACCTGGCTTCCGGCTTCTGTCAAGCAGGTGGCTTCTGGTGGCCCCTGCCAGGCCTAGCAGTAGGACCAGTGGGGTGAGGAGCTGAACCAGCAGAGACACAGGCCACTTAGAGCAAGGCTTTGGCCCAAATCCTTGTACTCAGGTAAGGGAGGCAACTCAGAGCCTCTGGAGAAGCTTCATGGTGGGTCAGGATGCCGTCCTCCACCAGAGGAGAGGGGAGCTCTCGAGGCCCAGGGGAGAGAGAACACCCCACCTCTCTGCATATCCACCCCTTGCTCGGCCCGACTCAGGTCAGGTGACAAAGAAATGAACTATTTGATCACCTGAGCGCCCCTGGCCCAGAGGGAGGACTTCCATGACCCCCTGTCCTTCCTCCCTCTCCCCAACCCTCCAGCCTACTGGGGTTGCCCCTCCTCCACCTCTGAATCCCACCCTCCCTCCTGCTGGGCTGTGGCTCCCTCTGTCTGGCAGCACCCATTTCACACTGCCACCCACCCATCTCACACACACAGTGCCCCTTGGTCCTCTCTAGATGCTGTTTCTCTGCTCTATAGTTTCTGCTTCTGGGTCCCCTCCACCCCACATGGCCTCTCAGGAGCAGGCGGCGCTCCTCCCAACACCCCTGCTTCCCTGGGCTCCTGACGTATTCCCTCTTCCCACCCACTGGGTCCTTTCTTCCTGTTCTCTGAATTTGGGGGCCCCAGGGCCCTCACATTGTTCCCACCCTGGAGACCCAGGTTCATATATCTGCCTCTCGCTCTTCTTGGTGTTAAACAGACACCTCACATGCTACCTGTCACAGACAGAGCTCTTGGTCTCCTCCCAACTTGCTTCTTGTCTTCTTACCTTAGTAACGGGTGCTTAATTGGTGTCAAACCCAGGGACTCACATCCTTGATTCCCCTCTTACTGTCACAGCCCACCTCCAGTTCACCAGCTTGTTCTGACAGTATAAACCTCTAAATATAACCTCCATTCGGCCATTTTTCACCATCTTCCTTCTCCAGCTTTAGCACAAATCCCCGTCATCCATCCCCTCGCTGGGTTCTGTCCCCAGCAAGCCGCCACCACAGCTCTCTGCTTCTGTTCCTGTGCCTTCCAGCCCATTCAGTGCACACAGTAATCTCATTAAAATCCAAAACCTTTGTAGAAATCCATTGTTGTAGCTGTTACAACAATAGTAAACACTTTCCTTTGGCCCGTGAAACCCCACCCTACACTGACAGCACTCCAGCCGCGCTGGCCTTCTCCCCCCTGCACGCTCTTCCCTGCCACGGGGCCTTTGCACATGTTGTGCCCGTGGAAAGTTTACTCATCACTTCCCTGCTCTGCCTGTTTCCCGTCATTCAGGTCTCGGTTCAGAGAAACACTCCCCGACTGTCTCAAGTTGCCTTGTGTCCGCTCTTCTATTATATCATCTTCATAGCTATCAACCTCTGACATTCTTCTCTTTTTTTTTTTAAAAAAAAAGAAAAGATTTATTTATTTATTTATACAAGCACTGGGTACAGTCAGAAGCGCAGGGGGTGAGAGGATTCACCAGAGCCAGAGCGGGGAACAGAACAGGCAGACTGATGAAATACACTGCTGAGGGGAGCAGCGGGCGTGGCAGGAGAGATCTGCACGCCATGTGGGACCCTCACCGGTGGCCCAGAATTGAACCGGTGCTTCGCAGCCCAGCGCTCAACCACTGTGCCACCAGGGGAGGCCCAACCTCTGACATTCTTATTATTTTATTTGCCTTTTTTGTTTGTTTTCCTCATTAAAATGAAAGATTCAAAGAACAAAGGCTTTTCCTGTTGCTGCGGTATCCCTAGGGCCCAGATCAGCTCTGGAACACAAGCATATGTAATTATGATGGTTATAACTAACAGGAATGGAGCATCCAGTAGGTACCAGAAATCACTCTGTATTGACTAATTCTACCTTTAGGACCTCTGTGCTAGGTGGTGTTATCCCATTTGACAAATGGGATATCTTCCCTTTCTACCCCTGCCCTGTGGCAGCAGGTGCATAGTGGCAACAGCAGAATTTCAAAACTTTCCTGCACACTACCTGAGTGACCTGCCCTCCCACTGCCTTTCACAGGTCTTGAGCTGGTTCCCTCGGGTCCCTGTGGTGCCCCCCAGCTCCCTCCTCAAAGGTTTGGTATGCACTTGCAGGCAGTGTGACCTCTGAGTCACAGAGTGACCTCTCTGAGCTGTGGTTTATTTCCAACAAAATGGGTCAATGTTCTGTCTTAACAGGACCCTGAGGGTTGGTGGTTATGAAGTCCCCTGTCCACTCTGTCTAAGGGGCTGGACCTCTGCTGGATGCTGAGTGCAACACCAGAAACAGGTTCTCTCTCTCTCTCTCTCTCTCCAGTTACTGAAGTCACACCAGGCCACTCAATTAAAAATATTACAAATTAAAGGCACAACAGTGTCACACCAACTGGCAGTGACATAGGTGTATATTTTTGTCAAAACTCATTAAACTGTATCTGAAAATAGGTGCAGTTTATTCTGTGTCCGTTCTACCTCAATTAAGTTATATTTAAAAAATTTATTTTTGAGGGCC